TCCGATTAAGTTATACACAAATTTCTGTGTGATATTACTTTGTTTATAACAGATTAGGCTGTCTATAAAAATGATCGTGACCGTTACGGTGATGAAAATGATTGACGACAGCGAGTATCGAAAGAATTATAATTCTCGCCTTAGTTTTATCTTCCGTTTGGTCGCGCAAAACGATACGTTTAAATCGCTCGATTATCTTTATCAGGGGGTACTTTTTACGTTCGCGTCGCGTCGCGTCATCGCCGCACGCAAAGGCCGCATAATTTCGCAACGCGCGCTTCGATGAAAGTTTTGCGACTGCATAGAACCATCCGGCACACATCTCTCGGCCGACGTGAAAGCACGGGTTCGCGTAAGAGCGAGAAGGATCTGACGATAAATCGATAATTCGTTGGAAAAGCATAGGTTGAAGCGGTTGAAGCTGTCGGCGAGTTTCGTTTATTTCTCTTCGATCAGCTCGTGTAGCTGGTACTGGTACAGTCCGGCGAGCAAGTAATCACCTCGTGTGCCTTGTTACGCCGAGAAATCGCCCGGTATATGAGTGATGCTTCCTCAACGGAGAGCCCGTTTCGACGCTAAAATCATTGCTCGTCCGAGCCTCATCGAGTATAAGAAGCACGATCGAATATTCGTGACAGGATCCAAATACGACATTTCAATTGGCCACAACGGAATGTTTCGTTGCTTTCCCCGATAGGCTTTTGTCCTTCATGTAAGATGCAAGCGGTTTCAGAAAGAAGCGAATGTTTAAGAAACCGGAAGCTATAAATTGAGATTTTTGTATGGGGAAAATCGGAACATGTCATATGTTGTATAAACTAGAATTTGTAATTATTTTATAAGCGCCATTTATTATGAAAAAATTCCGCGTGAATTATTTTCGCGTATTACTCAAGAATATTTTCTCGACGCCATATCTCATTCTTCATGCGTTAAAAACGACGAATGCACGATGAACACGCGAACGCCAGTTACATTTCAAGTTGGCGCCAAATCATGTGCGTATTTGTGATTCATGATTCACGTGTGTATTAATTTGTGAATAGTGCGGAGAGAAAATTCGCCAATAAAATTCGCATTCGCGTCAATTCGCCACCGGAACGGTTTTTCGACGAAATTAAAATGAATCATCACGAATCAGTACAAAGTAGTAATCAAATATGAATTGCAAACGGTATGGAGGGTCCACGCTGGCGAATAATGAATTTTGTGACGAATCACTACGAATCGCGAATCGCGAATAGCGCATAATTTAGCGTCAGCTTTAACAAAATATCCACCCCGGATACACGCGTGTTGTAATATCCGATACATCTCTCGTCCGTCAGGAGTTATTAGACGAAAAGTCGAAAAAAAACGTCAGTCGGTTCACCGTAGGGCGCATGCGTCTCGTCGCCAGGGCGCGAACCTCGGAAAGCGTTTCACGCGAAAACTATCGGCGCGATCGGGTCCGCGGGCAAATAAATGGGCATGACAAACGGTAGAGAATCGTCCGGTGAAGGTTTCATCTCGATATCTCGCGCCGTTCCCGAGATATTAAATGGCCACTTTTGGCGAGAGAGCGGCGCGCGAAGCAGGGCACGGGGCGCTCTTCCCGGCATGGCAACGCGCGCGCCATCGACATCGCTCGCGGCAGAAGCGTGTCAGGGCCTCTCGCTCCCAGTTACGAATGTAGTCTTTGTGTAGCGTGTTTGCGCTATACGCGATTTTTGAACGATATCGCGTATGATATCGATTCACACGAGGATGATTATATTTTTTTCCATTAGCTTTTGTTCCCGTCATATCTGGAATCCGTTTGTTTTAGCTGTATTCTCTTGCTTTTTCACGAACAAGCTCGGCTTACGGAAAGAGTAAGAGGAAAGCAACATGTAGGAAGCATAACAAAAATTAACTAATTTTTTTCGGCAAACTGCGATCTGATAATAATTATGCAAATGTATTAGATTAACGTGAAAGATTTGACAAACGAATTTCAGTGAAGCTTTCCATCATCGAGAGAGAATCCTTTCAATACCTTTTTCAAAAAACCTTCGGTTTTGCAACTTTATTTAACACGAAACTTGATGGAGAAACGATAAATTTTTTGCGCCAATAAGTAGTGCTGTATTTCATGATTAGCATTGGTTATCATAGCGGTTCGTGCACATAGGGTACGGTAACGTGTTTTTCTCGATAAAAAGTGGCGCGGTAGTTCAATCGACATTTTCCATTACATATTTGCTACTTTCGGAAAAATGACTGTACGGCATGTATTATTATTATTATAAAAGAGTTATTAGCCGTGTCGCGATATGGTATACGTTGTAGATTACGGAACGAGTTCAAATCGATATCGTAACTAATTCGCGTATTATGAGAGAACCACTGACGTTTCCGAGTCGCCTTTTTGTTTTCACATAACCGCAGTAATTTTCTCTTCTTACATCAATTGTCGGCTGCCTTTAATTATATCGAGGAAATTCACTCAACGATATACTTAAGTTCATGCATATAACTTTGTTAATTATTCGAAATAATTGTAAGATATAGAATCGTAAAGCAAGACTTTTCCAGTAATCGAGATACCGACAAATTCGCCCGTTATATATCTGTTTTAATCATTTCCGACATCCGTTTGTTTATTTTTTTAAACGTAGCTGCGTTTAATTGACTGTTCCGAAACAAAGTAAATACTTGAAAATATTCATTTTGATTTATAAATGTAGATCTGTTTAGTTTACGAATTTTTACGCTTGTTACATGATTGCAAACAACGATTTAATTCCTTCCGTGAGTTAAGCAGGTTGAACAAATCAAGCTGAACCCGCTGTGAAAAAATGGCGATAATTAATTAGTTATAATAATCAGAAAAATGTGGAGTACAGAGAATATTTTAATATTGGTTACAGCATTATTTACGATACGTTTCGCGAGCCGTGGAGTGCCATGATGTATAACCTGAATAATTGCTAATATTTTCGAGTTCTCAAACAGAGAATACGATATATTTTATGAGGCACACTTGGATACATTTCCGACCTTATATTCCATGCATGAGAATTGTGTACTCAAGCAGGATCTGATCATCACTTGATTAACAATTCAACACAAATTTAATCACGTCCGATACTACTCTATACAGTCTGGCATAGTTTAAACATGTAACACTTCGCACGTATCGGATCCAGTTCGAAATATTCATACCTTATTCAACATATGTAACGCATTCTATTATAACATTTGATCACGAAGTTAGCTGTAATGTATCTGCGTAAAAATCTATTATCTGCAATTGCAATAGAATGGAACATCGCGATAGGCACGAAGTGAAGTAGGCGAGGCGCGGTAAAAAAGCCGCGATTAATGACGTGCGCGACGGCGACGGCGACGGCGGGCGTCGACGTCGTCGAGGAACAAAGGGGAACGTCGCGTCGGTCCGGCCCGAGCGAAGGCGGGGAAGGCGCGGGGGGGCGATCGTGCGTACTCCTACACGCGACACGCCATCTATGTGGGCCTGACTCCGGCGTGTATTCCAGGGTTGCGCAATTCGGCGTAGCTTACGCCCGCGTGCGCGCGCGCGCGCCGTACACAACGGCGGCCGAAAGCGCGGAGAAATGCGTGTTGTGTCGCCCAGGCGCTTTCCAATTTACGCATCGCTCGCGGGGTTGCGCAACGTTTCGTGCACGGCGATTGATTGCGCTCCGAAGGGAGGCGAATCTCGTAACGGAGGGAGCGCCCGAGTAGGTGGAGCGGGCGGAGGGGCTGACAGGGGGTAACGGGGGAAAGAGAGCGGGAGCGTGGAACTCCGAAAGAGGGTACGCGCGAGCACGAACGAACGGCGCGAAACGGGAGCGACGGAGAGATGACACGCGAGAACGAAGTACGGGAAGGGTTGGGGGAGAAAGAGGGCTGTGCGAGGTCGGCGGGCGCAGGAGCCGGGAAAGATATGAACACAAAGAGAACGAGAAAAGGGAAGAGGTGCACGGCCGGCGGGAGGGAGAAGGAGAGCGAGAGGAAGAAACAATGAATAGAGCGAGAGTACGGGAGAAGAGAATCGCGCGCGCAATGGTCGTGGTAATGCTCGTGGAAAGAAGCGGCATCGCCGCACGGCTACTTGGCTCTCCAGGGCCAGGATATTTCAATACCGACGGTGGTCGGCCACCGACGTGGGACTGCATACGAGGAGGGGGAGCGCGGCGGCGGCGGCGGCGGCGGCGACGACGACGACGACGACGACGACGACGACGACGACGGCGGCGCGGCGCGGAGCAACGCAACCCACGTATATATCATGTGCATACGTGTGTGCGCGCCTCATGTGCCTATATACACGCGCGCGGCTATATACGTCCCCTCCCGTCGCCCGTCCGCGTCCCTCGTCTATGTGTCCGCCCTTCGCGGCCGGTACACACGCTTCGCGTCTCGTACGATTTTACACGGTTGTTCGGCGACGAGGAGGCAGAGAGAGAAAAAGACAGAGAGCCCTCGGCGGCACGGTAGCCGCGCTCCGCTATTCGGCTTTTCCTGCGTCAGGGGAAGTGCGAGAGGGGTCAAGGGGAAGGGGTTCTGCCACTTCTGCCTCTCTGTCTCTCTTCTCGGCGTGGAGAGGGGGCATACTCTCTCGCCGAGAGAAACACCGGAGACTTTACTCAAACGCGATGGTCCGGGGGAGAATGGGGAGGGGAAAGGGAGAGCCCGAACGTGGCCGACGGGTTCGTCGGTAATGCCCGCCTTCGAGAGACGTCGAGGGAAACCGGACTGGGCCGTGCCAGGCGGCGATTGGACGCGCGAAACGAGTGGGGCGCGGGACCGCGGTGGCGCCTCGTAGGCTCCGCCAATCGGGCGCTCTCGCCGGGAGTTTTTTATCCCGCTATTTACGCCGAGGACGGAGAAGACGGTTCCCCATGTCCCTCCCGCCCTACCCGCCGACCGTGGTATCTCGCTCGCACCCGGGCGGTGGGCACTCTCCGTCCCGTTCGCGCGCGCTCTCCCTGTGCGTCCGTCGGCGCAGGAGAGGACACTCTCGTTTCGGGATCCGTTGAGGCAGCACGCGTATCGCTCTCTCCACGGGACAGGATAGAAAAGTGTCGGGTGTGCGTTACGCGCGTATCGCTCTTGTGTTTTCACGGAAACTCGGTGAAACGGCGCGCTCGCTTTCGCTTCGTTTTCGAACGTGAGCGTGTTCCGAGCCGCCCGCAGGGATACACGATACACAGGCGCCTTACTACGAACCGTGGTGCGCGCTGGTGTGTGCGCGCGTCGAATATACAGTGGACGTGTACGTGTGTGTATGTGTGTGACAGAACGTCGCAGGAGGATGCGGCGTTGCCGGATGTAATAGGCGCGAATACGCGTACGTAGCGTACTGTACGGTGCGCGGCGGCGAGGCCGCCGAGGAGAGGAACAGGGACGCGCGCGCGTCCGACGGAAAGGGAGAGAGAGCGTGCGGCGTCGTCGATCGATCGATTTCGACTCGTTCGCCGGAGGTGGAAAATCGTCGAGCTGTTAGCGTTTGCCGCCGTATAGCCGCCGCGCCACACCGCCACACCGCCGTGCGTATTCGCGAGAGAGCATCGGTTGCGGCGATACGCCACGGTGACATTTGCGGTGCGGTGCTATCGATGAAACAGGCTTGGCAACGTCGCGCTCTGCCCTCGCACACAAACGCGCGCGCGTATACACGTACCTAGAAGGGAACTTGGGGTGGCTGGCTGGTTGGCTGGCTCGCTGCGGCTGGCAGGCAGGCAGGCAAGCAGGCTAGCGGACAGGCAAACAGGGCAGGCCAGGCAGACGGCTTTCTTGTTCCGAGGACGGTGCTCCTGGTCGCGCCGTCTCTCTTTCCTACCTCCATTGCGCTTACTCTTCCTCTCCCCCGGCCCCTCCTGCCTCCTCTCCCTTGTCTCGGTCAACTCAATTGCGCTCTCGTTCTCTCCCTTTCTCCCTCCCTCTCCTCGGCTTCTCTCTTTATCTCTTTCTCTCTCTTGCGCGCGCGCGCGCGCGTTTATGCCGCACGTACCGTTGAGAGCTTCTCCCTTCCCCTGCCGTGCTCTTTCTCTGCCCCTCTACCCCCTCTCCCCACCTTACCTCGAACGAATCGGGCGAGTCCACTAGGCTTGCGAGGGGTGTTCGGCAGACCTCGTCTCTAGTCGGCCTCGATCCGCAGAGTGCGTTAGACGCCGCGAGTCGATCGCTCCGGTACACGGACATACGCGAGCGGTAGCATACGCGAGTACGTCGTGGGGCCCGCGAATGCCATTGCGCGTTACCTGCGCATAGCCGCGGCCCGCGGCAGCCCGTATTGCGGCCAATTTGCCCGTTCAGCCTGGGACGCACTCGATCAGCGTATATCCGTACGACGGCCATGTTTGGTGTTTACGACGTGAGGGGGAGCCGCTGACGTCACACGGGACGAGAGCGCGAACGGCCGATCTCGCCCGAACGAACGCGACCGCGCGGCTACGGGCGACGGACGACGGGCGGCAGCAGCGACAGGCAAGCCGAACCGACGACGACGACGACGAGGAGGAAAAACGTGCCGCGCCACGCCGGTAGCCCACCACCGATACGCGTCGCGCGCGCCCGCGCACAACGAGCGCCGTCGTCGAATAAGGAACCACGACACGGGCAACCCGTGCGATAGAGGACCGGCGTCGCGTCTCGTGTATGCGTGCGTATACTTACGTACGCTCGCGTAGCGCGAAACTGGAATCGCTCACCGGGCGCCGCTGTCCGGCTCCCTCTTTTCCGATGGGACGCTCGAACCCGCCGATCTCGCTCGCCGTGGTCACCGCCGCTACTGGCTTTTCAAAAAACATCGCGCGCATCGTCACCTTCTTCCCCGGTTTCTCCGCCGTCACGCCGCTAGCGTTCTCTCTGTAAAAACGCACTTGCCGCCCGCGACCGATCGCTTCGCCGGAAAAAGGAGTAGCGATCCGGGCGATGCCGAGCAACGTTGCACGGCTCTATCGGACGACGGCGACGACGACGACCCGTCGTGATTGACAACGCGTGTCCGACGATGCGCGACGCGGAGTCGCGAACGAACTGACTCGATCGTCAACTCGAAGATACGATCGCGCCACGTGGTAATCGCGCACGTGTCCTACACACGTCTCCGGCTGCACGCAGCGCATGCTGGTATCGTCCGCTTCCTCTCGCTCAAAGGTGCCGCGATCGATCGGAGCGGACGATCGTCCTCTCTCGCGCGACGCAACGTACGACGCGCACGTGCACCCAGTGATCGCACTCGACTTACACTCGCGAGCGCGCTCGCGTCTGTGTTGGTGTCGGTGTGTACACATACGCGCGTGTCTGTGATCGATCCGTCTGTGCCGCCGGTGTGTTGTTTGTCGTGCCGGTTTTTACATATGGTGTTTCGCGGGATACCTAGCGCGATACGCAGCCACAAGCCGAACGGGGACCGAACGAGGATCGTCCGGGTTAACTACATCCAGGATTAAGGACACCGCTCCTCCGTCAAAGCAGAGAACCATGGAGCTGGGTGACAGAGTTTACGCCGCGGAGCGGATCACGAAAAAGAGGGAAAAGCGGGTTAGTATCGCGCGCGCCCGCTGCCGCCAGGTGGCGCCACCAGCCGGAATCCGTCCGCGCGCCGTTACCGCCCCTCTATCTCTCCCTCCTCCTACCTCGCACCTCTTATCTCCTTTTTTTCTCTCTCTTTCTCTCTTTCGCTGACAGCCGGCTTCGCGCGGCTGCCGCTTCCTCCACGACGCTCCACACGGCTCCGGCGATATCGGACATTGTGTGCGCCGACAGATACTGGGCTCTCCCCTGTTACCTGCCGTAACACAATGCCGTTCACGTCGCGTACTCTCGTCGAATCGCGAGAGCACGCATCACGGAGCATCGATCGTCGCCGATCCACCAACGGTTTTTTTTTTGCCCATCGGCGAGATTATCGATTCGCTCCCGTTAACGAAATTCCGCGATTCCGCGCCCGTTACGCTCGCGACACCCGTTGACGCGAAGAATAATAACGGCGTGACCCTTTCGAAACGTTCTCCGTTATTTCGAACATAAAACGAAGGCTGCGAGAACGGTGAGAGGGAGTAAAAAGCGAATAGAGAACTTTCCTCGAAAGGCGGCTCGTTTCTAGCGCGCGCGATAAGATCTCGGAGCAGCTCCGATTATCATGTATATTTTTTTCTTATTCATCTCCACCGTGCACAGCTCACGATTGAAGAAACGTTAGGCACCGCCTCTGAATAGGTTGCGTCTAATAAATGGTTGCTCGTATCTGCTAAAGGCTAAAGGCGATACAAATAATCACGTAATCGTGTAGGGAGGAACTTTTCCATTCGTCGTTGCGCGCTTCATTGAAACGTTAATATGATGATCTCGGCTCGGAGAATACGTGAATACGTTTGCTCGCGTATCGTATTATTGTCCTCGGTTAACCAGCAGATTGAGCGAAAGATCGCTGGTAAAAGGAGCTATCTCAACCACGCATTCTGACACGGACTATACAATTTCTGGTTAACGGGAGTCTCCGGAGGCGGACGACGACGCCGCGACGGTGGGCTCGCTGACGGATAGGAGAAAGGCTCGCCGTGCGCGACATGGCGATCAGCTGGTAGCGACCGGTGGCGTGTTTCTATGAAATGTGCGCGCCGTCACGACTCTACGCCGCAAATGTAAAACTCCCCGTAAAATTCCTCGCGAGACTCGCGTAAACTGTCTCTCCGTCTCTCACTCGGGAATCGCGAAGAAGATAAACTTGCCGGAACGTAAACTTGCCGGGTCGTGAATTAAGTCGCGCGATAACGTCGTGGAACAATGCGAAATCGCCTTAACCCTTTGCGGGTCCTGTGGACTCGACATAGCGCTTCGCGCCAGAGTCTTCCGCATGATTCTTCAGGCATTTAAATCGCCGCACGATTGCAATCTCGGCAAGCTACGCGTTCGTGGAATCTTCATAAATCCCCTCAAATAACAACACAGACTCTTTGATTCGTATTAAGCCCGCATCAGGCTATGAAATTTGATCAATCGGAGCAAAGTTCATTAAACTTGAAATTAATTTTCTTTGTTCTGATTGATTAAATTTCAATCCAGTCTCACAATCTCAATAATGTGATACGGGCTTTAGACTCGCCGGTTGGATTAAAACGAGGACGAGAATGACGAGATACATGATCTTCGGGTCATTTGTGACAAATAATTTGAAATCGCTGGGAAACGACGTTAACTTCGCGCCGAAACTGACGGGCTACTTGGAGGAAAGATCTTACGATTTTTTATTCGGGTCGCATCCGCGAGATTTCCTTTCTTTCGATGCAATTGGAAATTATCCCGCGTCGTCTGCTTCGTATGCCATATCAAGTCGCCGTTTCACCGTCCGGTTTCGAAAACCGAACAAACCGATCGCTCGCGAGGCGACTAGCCGCCGCGCGTATAACGTGTTATAAAGCGTATTTTCTCCCCGTGAATCGATGACACCGATTGTTACGCTATCGACAAGTAACAATATCGGGTAACCGGCGTCCCGCGAAGGGACGACAACCTGCTCCGCGTTATCATGTCGATCACGTTCGTCCCCGCCAGCTTCATTCGTACTTAAGGGCTTCATTCGCGCCGCGTTTTGCGACGCGGACGTATCGCGCGTGTCATTGTTTTCCAACTGTCACGCCTGTGCATCGCGATGGGGCAGCGGCGGCGTGCCGTTTCTGTCATTGGCCCACCGCCAATGGGTGAGTTGCCCGTGGTACATCGAGCCGGCCGTGCTATCGACCGTTCTTCGTGTCGCGAGACGGTTTTGAAAATTCACATTCGTTTTCCATCCGCTCGAGCGAGATCTCTCTTTTTTTCTCGTATTTTAATCGATTTTAGAAATCCGAGGACATCAACCGATAAGGTCGTATGTACCGGAAGATTACGAAGAGGATTACGAATTGGAAATTAGAATTTGATTATTCAGATAACTTTAATCTCAGTTTGATTTGCCGGACTCTGTCCTGATTGGTCCTGATGGATTTTTAATTAAAAACTTCACTGTAAAAATTTGAAAAAGATATTTTTTTTTTCCAATTTACATTTCGGAAATTTTTTCATGGGACAATGAGATAGAATTTATTGTGCGATTAAAAAATTGATGAAATTAATAAGTAATTTTTTCTCAAAATTGCATTTTTCAAAATGGTGCTTCTGATTATTTTTAAATCGAATGTTTTAATACGCGCATGTTTGGATACGCGCATATTTTTAGATATGTTTTTCATCAATCATCTGATCGATTAACGGTTTTTTGACAGTTTTTACTAGCAAGATAATGATCATCTTTTGAAAATTTTACATCTTTTCTTATGTAGATAGTTATGAATATAAAAAATAAGGAAAAACTTGACTTTTTAAAGAACAGATTGCTTGAAGTATTAAGGCTACCATTTAATCTGAATTTTTTAATCAACATTTTTATAACTTGTATTGACTTATATTGACAATTATAAAGATTGTCAATATACATATAGTTAATATTAATAGATATTAAAGCACAAATATTAATTTAACATTTTTTTATAATTTTCAAATAAGAAAATTTTAAGATTGGCCCATTTTTCAATCTGCAAGATTCAGTGAAACGTGATATTTAATCTAAGAATTTAACAAATATATTAATAGAAGAAAAAAACTGAATTTAGTCTAAAATTATGAATGAAGAAAAAATTAACATTAATATTGAAATTATCGTATATTGAATTAATGCGATTTCTTTCATTCTTTTCCCTGATCAACATTCGTGGTTTAATACGTGAATTTGCGTGCATTTCGGAGCATATTCAAAGCGTGAAATTCCGATTTAATTGTTCACGTATCACGGCTGTTAATTATCCGAGAAACCATTATTACTGTTATATTATTAATTATTATTGCTATTCATCAAATATTGATACGTCGAACCGCGAAATATCATCTCTAGCTGTTTTGAAACAGCGTTGCGGTTTCTCGAACAATCCAATAGTCATTAACGCGCGAGTATTTAAACAGGAAGCATGCATCTCGAATATGCGCCCGATGATACGCGAGCAAATTCATGCATTAGGCATTTATGACTCCGTATGTACATACATACGTTTACTTCATACATTTATTACGTAAAGCTTACTAAATTCCACACATTTGTTACTTAAAACTTACTGACGTCATTACATTGACTTAACCCTTAGCTGGCACACTTCACCAGAATCACATAGCTGGCACTCTGGGGCCGTTTCAGACCCCACCACTAAAATGCTTGCTGCGAGGAAGCTATTAATTTTTTTTACTTCAAAAAAATTCCAAGATAGTCTTTGAATGTTGTTTTAACAAATGTCATAGGTTATTTTGATAAAATGTAATATTAAGTACAAAAATTATGACAAAAATTGAAGAACGTAAAAGAAAACGAAAAAATGATTGTTTTCACTATTTTTTTTTTTTTTTTTAACGCGGGGAAATCTACCGGCCAGTACTGACTGGTAGCCCCCTCGCTGTAAGAGGGGGGGTCTTCCCCCTCTCCGGGAGCGAGGCGAGGGGAGTGTCGGATTCTTACCGACTAAAACTCCGCAGGTGTCCTTCGCGGCACGTTTTTCGCGTTGGAGAGGGGGCCCCGGGAAACGCACTGATTCGTCCGGGACTTCACTAAAAAATTCTCAACTCTTATATTTTAACTGTTCCATTTTTTAGTACCATTTTCGTATTATAGGGAGGCTTAAATTGGAGCTGAACTAGGCTGGGGCGTTTAATACCCCTCAGTGCCAGCTAAGGGTTAACTCAGTTTTCCTCATCACTTTTTCCTTCTTAACGATCAGCTGTCATGCAGTTTGTTCTTTTCGTTCTTTTACCCGTGTCGTCAAGAGATCCGTCGATCTTTGAATACAAATATTTAATCTCGCGCGCTTATCTCTCCCTGACTTCAACTCATTGAATGACGGCGAAACAAGCTTTCACCGATCGATCTCACCCGGTTCGATCTGTCCGACGATTGACAAAACATGTATGAAGGATCGATCGTAACGGCGCGTCTCCCGCGTCGAATTAATTATCCCGCCGTGATGGCCTATAATTACGCGTGCCGATAAGCGAGTCGGCTCCTACAGATTGGCCGATCTTATCGACGTTACGATCCGTCCGGCGTACGCACGGCGCGCAACACGTGGACGCAACGACGTAATTCTGACGTTGATGCGTAGCTGGTACGGGATAATGGTAGATCTAATTACGAGCAAATGTGAAAGTGATTAATGCGCGATTACATGCGTCAGTGGCGGTTGCGCGTGGAGCGGTGCCGCAGGGATCGAACGTCGCATCGCGAAACACGATGTTTGCGATGTTTGCAGACATAATATACGTGGGTCAGAAAAATGTAAACGTCCTCCGCTTGTAGATTTTTCTCTCGTTCCCGTTTTATTCTCTTTTTCCCTTCAATTGTCGCTATTTTATACGACGTTAATATTTTACACGGATACCTATGTTTCTCTCTCTCGCGTTTTTCGAAATATAGCAGTTTGATTGCAAATTCTCGCGGACAGACAGGACAGACAGGACAGCGCCCGCTTCCTCACGTGTCGCTCGACGCGGTGACGCTTATCGTATTTGCAATTGTATTAAATGATTCAATAATTTCTCTTCGTGCTCTCATATTTCGGCTTGAATCGATATTCGTGAATTTTTGCCGCGAAGCGGTCCGCAGTTTGATCTCTCGGTCGTTCATTAAAACGCACGTGTTCACGTTGTACGATTTGACAATTATGGTCGACGATCGTAGAATTTAATCGTTCTTTCCTTGTTTTTAGGGCAAGATCGAGTACTTTGTCAAATGGAAAGGATGGAGCAAAAAGTGAGTACGAAATCGGAGATTTGTCGTCAGACGGAAGGAACGACGCTCGTGATTGGAATGTGCAATTTTTCTTGTGTTTCAGATATAACACATGGGAGCCGGAAGAAAATATTTTGGATGTCAGATTAATCGAATTGTACGAGGAGAATCAAAAGAACGCGGAAGTAGTAGTGCCCACCACCAGAAGGCCAAGGCGAAGGGATACTAGATACAGTGTAAGAAAAAAACTATATACATTTAAACTATATACATTTGCTTCGTATAAATATTTAACTGTTCTGAATAAATTGCGGGATAAATTTTATTAACTTTTTCATTTATACGTATAGTTTGTAACGTTTTTCTACGTAAGTCAATTTCATTAATCAAAGAATATTGTGACATTTTTTTTTTTATCAAAGAAAGGTTTTATTATAATAATGAGTGATAAGAAACATAAAGAGAGGAAAAATGTGGGCAAAAATAAGGGACAATTTGTGAAAATAAAAGTGAAGCAGCGCACTCACAATATTATCAATGCTACAAAGAAAAGATTCAATAAGGTAAAGTTACAGAAACATAATATTATTAATTAAATAACTGGAAGAACAAGATAATTGGCATTGTAACTGTAATTTATATTTTGGTAAAGGAGTCTGATTTTGCAAATTATCCAGTTTTTAATGGACGTCGACTTGTAGAAATTAAAATGCTTGCAGCTGAACTGTGATGTACTGTCATAAACCGTACGTGATGAACTGAAGTGTGACATGAGCGCACAGCTTGCAGCGTTGCCAAATAATTTCTTGAAAGTCGCCATTAAAAATATTCATCTATAAACCACATTTCAAGTCAACTTTTAACATAAATATTTTGTTTAAATATTCGGTGACTCTGTATTTTTATCGGCACTATCGAAAGTATAGAGTTTAGCGAGTAGCGCAGTTAATATTTAATATCTTAAAATATTTGATAAACAAATTATTACATTGAAACGTGGAAAATACTTTTTCGATAACGTCACATATAAAATATCGAATTTTCAAAGTCATAATTTTTCTTTATATGTTTGGTAATGTGGTTTAATTTTTTTTCTGGCGTAAAGATATGCATTTTAACTTTCTCGTACCAAAAAATCAGTTAGACGTGTTTTCTTGCGCATAACTTAATTGACGACAATCCTTATTTTCAGGAACAACTGTCTAATCTTGTTGTCGATGAGGAGCCCGGCGGAGACGAAAGGGTGGGCGAAGACAGTCAGGATGAATCGACAACAGGCAGCACTTCGGCGTCTCGTTTAAATCCAGTAGCCCCCGACGAGGACACCCTCCCAAGTTCCTTAGACAGCCATGAGTCTCCAACGCCGCCAGAGTTGGCATCGGCATACAGCGTCGATTCTGACAGTTCCAACAGCAGTATGGATACTCCCCTATTGCCTAGAAAAGAACGTATGAAAAGGAAGGCTGAGGTCCTTAGTGCTCAATCCGGCAAAATCGGCGTGACGATTACCACGAGCAGTCCTAGTAGTGGCAGTGGTAGTCCACCTCCGAGCAAAGTTCCTCGGTTATTGCCTTTAAAAAACAACCCCACAAATCCTTCTTATCACGTAAGTTTCGACAATTTGTGCGATAAATTATTGTCGCCGCGTTGAACGCCATGCTAAAATTAAATTATGACATTACGGGATGTTTTAATTTTCTACATGCTATAAAAAATTAAAAATATATGAATGAGACTGTTAAACTAGCTAATGTTGCATCAAAAAATTAAATGTCTGATACATACAAAACTCACGTAACTTTCATACATAAATTGTAATCCATTTAGATTAGATAAAAGGACCCATTTTAGATAGAAGAATAAAAATATCATTGACAGACACACATAACACTTAAGAAAGAAATAATTGAAAATGTTAACCACAAATGACTTTTAGTGTTGCGTCTTCCTAGTTGATATAGAAGCAACATATTTTTTTACGTTACAGAGTCACAAAGCCAATGGTCAAAATCAGAGAAGGCCGTCATCCTCCAACAATGTGAAGTCAACACCAGAGGAACCTCTGCCGGCAGTGCCGACGACGCCGGCACCGGCAGTACAAGACAAAAAGCGTCCTGAAGCTGATGTACCTCATGGTCCGCCACCCTCTCTTCCACGTGCACCGCCAGCACCGCTGTCTCCTCAGATAGATACACCTTTGGAGCAAGTTGCAACAAAGAAGAGGCAGTTATCGGAGCAAAAGCAGGACAAAGCGAACGCGGTTGCTGCGGACAAAGCCAACGGTCACAAATCACCTAGCCCCACGGACTCTTACACTAATAACAATAGGTTACCCACTGTCGTGAATGGACACCACAGCCCTAACAATAACAATAATAACAATAACAATAACAACAACAATAATAATAATACTAGTTCAAACGTCAAGCAAACCGAGATTCCGAAGTCAGAGATCTACGTTCCACTCACAAATCCCGGCACGGATTATTGGCACGCGAGAAATCCCGTGGCTGATCAAGTATTTATCACAGACGTTACCGTTAATCTGAAGACCGTTACCATCAGGGAATGCAAGACTGAAAAGGGTTTCTTTCGAGAGAGGGATCCTAAAGAAACTCTTTGAGCTTCAAGAATGATAATCATTATTCTTGACGGTCCTGCATCGGGAATATCCGCTCTAAGTTGTATTGAATCACAATGTGTAAATATAAATTATTTTCGCTCCTCGGATGTTAAGACGAGGATGTAATCATGATATCAAGGAAGTTTTCTAGCAATGAGTAAATAAGTGACGACGTCACTCAATGTTGCTATGAAAATGACGAAAGCAGTCGGGCATCGCGCAAAGATCTGTACAATCTTGAGGCACCGATTGGAGTCTCAAGAACATCGAATAGATGCTGAAACCAAATACGGTCAATCAGAGTTCGATATAAAAATCCGCGAATCTTTTTTCCAAACTGAAAATTGATCGGTGTGTCCAGACGTGCGATTCTGTGTAAATTGATTGTAAAGACTAGACGACGTCGGTATGACAAGTTCATTACCGTATATACATCATACCTGCTATCACGACATATTTTAAAATGCTTGGTAGATTTTAACCACACGCTGAAGATCTGGAAAACATTAGAGGATGTATCTTCTAGTTGATTTTATCATTTGCTTGTCTTAGAACGCTAAGAGAATGCTATAAAGTAAAATCTTAGCTTTCGTTTTTACACTACGGGATATATATTATTATACGAGATATACCTAGGAAAAAAAAAGTATTTTTCTAATTCGTTTTTAGAATATTGAAACTGCTTCGCGGAAGCGATTGGGGGGTGGGAGACGTTCCGAGTTATTTTGAAGGAAAAAAAGAAAATAGTTTTTAATACAATGTTGTATCCATTCATCAATGCATTTTTGCTATGTACTGGGAAATAGAGTATCGCGAAAGAAAAATGTGTAAATTAGATTTCGAATGTACGTAAGAAAGTGTATGATTCAAGAATTTCGGACGATTACAAGATATCATGTTATTCACAGAAAGGCACAATTGCGCACAGTATTTCACTATCAGTGATGTTGCGTTTTCTCGGTTTCAATTCAGCTAATTCGTGGTATCCGTTTGACGACAGATGCATTTCCGTATGATCGAGTGCTTTGTTCAATTTTGTGTTATTTTTCGTGTATAATTAAGTATTTTTTATTTAGTGTAGGACGTCCCGTATATATCGATTGACAGTCCCGCAAGATCATTGCATATCTCTTAGTGAATCTATTTTATTTGTGGATTCTGATCAAGCATCACCAAATGGACGCCTTTTTTGATCATAAAGGCGCGTCTCGAACGTTGAAATCAGTACAACAATCCAAATCTGATTATATTCCAAGCTTACACGCTACTCAGAATTCTGTTACCTCGTTTTAGCGATGCTGCATGGTGCATTTTGCACGCGCGCTTTCATAGTCATGGTGATATAGTTTAATCTATATTATCAATCCAAGATTGACATCGGCCAATCTTTCTTATTATCACTACTTCGTCTACAGTGGGTCACCCATTCTTTCCCGTAAACGCTCCTATCACGCAGCAGAGCTTAAGACTGTTTTCATGATGATATAAATGAGAAGATTCTATTCTTTGATTTGTGAGAATAAATCTATAAAACTTTAGTAAGAAAAATAATTGGAAAGAAATTGTGATTTACGGATGGCTTGTAACGCCATGATTGACGTTGTGTCTCAGCAGATTGATATTGCTTTCTTTCTCGAATTCAAGAAACAACGTATTTTGATCCATTTTGAAAAAACGTACTATACAGTGTACCTCCTATTCTTTCTTATATTTTTTCTTATTTTTTTTTTTTAATTATTTTTCTTATTAAAAATTGACTTTTTCTCCAATTGTTAAGTTCTCTGATTGAGCTCGTTCATTTGATTCTATACGGAGCAAATCCCATGCACTGCAGTGTGATAGAAGCCACGTAAGAAAGAATAAAGAATCCTAATTATTGAGTTAAATTCGAAACAGATCGAGGAATATGTTTGAAGACAAAAAGAGATTGTAAAAATACAGGTACACACATACAATAAGCTAGTAATTTTCATCGGCTACCGATATGACAGGGATCATATCCGGAAGATGTTCTGTGCGCCTAGTAAAGATCAATCATCCATATAGTTTCGCTGGTTTCGCGTCTAGCAAAATGAACACTTGCGTTTATTTGCGAACGAATGAAATGTTTCACATAGGCCAGTATTCATAGTCAGATATTATATTTAAGATCGTCTTAAGTTTGAGTCTCCATCCAGCCAATAAAATGATCGTATAACATCTAAAAACATTACTTAAGACGATCTTGAAATAAGAACTTTGAGTACCGGCCATATACTCCTTTCTCGCGTATTTATACCAACGGAAATTGGGCGAAATTATACCGGTGTCAATCCTTGGTTCAGTTTCCTGACGCGTGTATTGGGCACGTAAAGGTAAAGATACCAATACCCGGACACTTAAGCATAGGAAATGTACCAATACCTGGACACGTATCTGTGTCTGGATACCTTTAAAAAAATATAAATTTATGAAAATAAACGTTTGGATATTATAACTGAAGTTTCAAACTACAAGAAAAAATAAATTATCTTTGATTTTAATTCGCGTATACTTATAAATAATAATAAAGGTGTCCGGATATAGATACATGTCCGGGTATTGATACCTTTACCTTACAGCATCGCTGAAGCGCGTAGCGGTTGCTTGATGGAGCGGCATACGACAGCGCGGGGTAGGACTCCTGCTGTGAACAGCGTTATATTAAAGAAAAAAAGAAGTTTCTCAGGTTAAATATATATTAAATGCGTAGGATTTAATATATATTTAATATGCATATATATAATATGTTAAATTTAAATATATACGTTGCTTATTTATTGTAACTAATACGAAGATTTTTAGATTTGTACATCCTTAATGTAGCTGTAATTAGACTGTACATGCGCGGTGTGTCTCGTTTGAGAGCGCAGCGTGATCGGTACAACGTTATGTCCTGCGTTTAGCACGCTATCGCATCAGTTACTGTATCCCAACGACCGTACCGTTGGGATCCGGCGAGGTTTTAGAGTAATTTATCAAAAAAGGAAATTTCGACGACTTCTTCTCGGACGACAAAAGAAATAGATCTGTGTGTGCGTGTTTGTTTATTTTTTTTTTTTTTTAGACGCAGCCACTTGCGTAAAATTAGATTGACACATTCGTTGCGGTTATCAATGCAGAAGATTGAGGTATACATTTCAATTGTTGTGTAATTTAAACCACTGTATATATACATATGGAAAGCGTTTTCCTGTAAAAAAAAAATTGTACATAACTGGATGAAACTTGTACGTTTCGCCGTAGCGGGCGGAACGCGTGAGACGGATGGCTTATATAAATCTTTGAATTATCAATTGTACATAGAGAAAGAGAAGCGAAAACCCCTTCCCTTACCCCTTTAGTTGTAAACGTAAAATTGCAACTAATAGGTCTATACATATAGAGAGAGAGAGAGAGGAATCCTTTTCTTAGCTTTAGAACTTCGAGATAGACTGTGCGCGTACCTTCGATATTGTTTCTGTACTTATAAATATATTCAGACTACTTATACGATTAAAGGAGGAAAAGAGAAGAAAAAGGGAGAGAAAAGGACACGAAACGATAACGCAGTGACTACGCAGGCATATACGATACGTGAACCCCGGTAGCATCAAATTCAACGGTAATTTTAGTTCTGTCTGGTACAGATTCCTTATATTTCAATAAAATCTCTACTTGAAGTCAGGCTGTTTCTAGATCCTAGATCATTTCTTCCTCGCGAATCTCTGTGGCACTCGCGGCGCGTGCCGTAGTGTCATACATTTGCCTTGTATAATATGATAAGTAAGTATAATATAATACAATAAGTTACGCATAACTCGTATATTGCCTTGTACATAATAATTATACACAATTCGTACAATAGTTGCATACAATTCGTCTTTTCGACCCGTGAGCTTTACGAACTTGAGCAAACAAAACAGTGATGTGATCATGACGAGAAGTGAGACGACAGTTTCCATTTATTTCTTCTAGGTATATATATCTTTTAATTAACTAGTGAATAAAAAATACTTTACAACAGAGCTGGGACTTGGTTGAACATTTCGAGCCGATTTCGTTGTCGACGCCTACCATCCCCCTTTTGACATTCGTATCAAAACATCGAGCCACCAGACACGTGTAAGTAAAGCGTGGAATGCTTTATCCTTCATTTCAGGAGCGCTCATAGTATAATTGATACATATCGATGGAATTATAATCATCTTAAGCAATATGAAGTAGCTATAGTTAGTTATTAATAAAAAAAAGAATTTAAAACATTATAAAATTATTTTAAAAAGAAAGTATTAACTATAGCCAGTTTTTTACACGTTTAAAAAAACTCATCAAAGTTCGCGTGCGTTTCCTTTAATATCGCGCGCGATTTTGAAGAAATCTCTTCAAAACCGCGTGTTTCTCTTGAAACCGCGTCCGAGTTTTTTATACCGCGCGTGCGGTTTCTATAAAACCGCGGCGGGTTTGTTGAAGCCGCGTGTAATTTTTTTAAAAGCATGTGCGATTTAATTGATACCGCGTGCGGCTTCTTTAAGACGGCTGTACACGCGTGCGGCTTTTTTAAAACTGCTAAGAGCTCGGGCGGTTTACATATATATATATATATATATAAAGAGCGCTGTCGTTTTTTTGAAATCGCATAATAAACGCCGGCGTTTCTGTTAAAGTTGCTTGAAAAGCCGCTTCATTGCGACTGCATCGAATAAATCGGTGTGGATTAAGCTTTACACACGTGCGGTATAGTTTGTCCACTCGAGGGCGCTTTCCGCGGTAACATGTGCACAATGCACATGCATTTTTTGTAATTGGTTGGTCATGTCATCAGGAAGCTGGAGCCAACAGTCCGGAGTAGATAGGTTATGGTAGCTCTTCGCAAGACCTTGGAATTTAGGAGTGCTAACGAAATATGACTGAACGTGCTTGCGGTATCGTTACAAATGGCCATCACACTGATATCGTTTTAAAATCCTACAGGTATTGGACAATGATCTGTACGCGTCTCCTTGTTGGGACACGGTTATATTTATTTACTTACCGCGCGCTATCACGTTTTCATTTTTACAGCAATCGCACACTGCTGATTGTAACGCACTTTAAAAAGTTCGGGACGTTATTGACGATAAATCGTGAATCCGCTGTGAATGGTTACAATAGCGATGTATTCTCGATAAAGTAAGTAAGAACGTTATTATAAATTAATAACAATGTAGCGATTAATATATTATCATAATGTAAGTAAAATAGTTCACCGCGTTGTTTAAATGCATTATATCTATCTAAATTAATATTCCCTTAAAATTAGGACAGTTTTTGGCAGCGACAACAATGACGTTCATGTAGCCGCTAGATACATAGCACAACAAATAAACATTGAGAAACCGTTACTACTGTCAATAGCACTAAAAGATTATAATCTGGAGACCTTGAAATCCATCGTCGCTGCTGTAAATCAGATAAAATTATAGTAATCGGTGAATCACCATGAGCTTAATCTTTGGTCAACTTGTTATCGGCCCACCCGGCAGTGGGAAAACAACGTATTGCAATGCAATGTCCAAATTCTTGGAGTCTATTGGAAGAAAAGTGGCTGTTATTAATATTGGTGTGTAAATGTTATATTTTAATTGCTTCCTTCCTGACTAAATCTAAAGCAAATGATCGTTGCATTTTTAGATCCGGCAAACGAAAATATGGAGTACACTCCAGCGGCAGATATATCTGAATTAATTAAACACGAAGAGGCCATGACGCACTGTGAACTTGGACCAAATGGAGCTTTAATTTACTGCATGGAATTCTTGGCAATCAACGTCAAATGGCTTATCACAAAAGTCTTGAATTTAAAAGATCATTACCTTATATTTGATTGTCCTGGTCAAGTGGGTTGCTCTCCTATTTTAAAATTATTCTTTTCTATCTTACGTTCGATAATGCCAAATAGCGTTTAATGTGATAGGTTGAATTATATACGCATCATAAATCGGTGAGCCAGATAGCCGAGGAATTGAATCAGAATTTAGTGAGATTATGCAGCGTGCATCTTGTGGATTCGCATCATTGTAGCGATCCTGGTAGGCATTAACGCACTTGATCGAATTAGTTAAATGACCAACTGTATGAAATTATTAGCGTTTCATTGCTCAATATAATCATTATAATTTATAGGAAAATACTTGTCCTCTCTAACTCTTTGCACAACGGTGATGTTACAAATAGGTTTGCCTCATGTAAATATCATGACAAAGTTTGACGAGATGAAAAAGTTCAGCGATCACCTAGCATTCAATATAGATTACTACACCGAAGTACTAGATTTAAAGTATCTCTTGGAACGATTGGATGAAGATCCCTTTACTGCAAAGTAAGCTAAATGTAATTAAATAAAGATATTTCATTAAAAACCGAAATACGCAGAAAGTTTTTAAACAGGTGTAATGTTTTATAGATACAAAAAACTTAATGCTGCACTGGTATCAATAATCGAGAACTACAGTCTTGTCAGTTTTATACCATTGGACGTTAACAACAAAGCCATGTTGCTACAAGTAAAGAACGCGGTGGATAAAGCCAATGGATATGTTTTCGGTGGTAATGAACCGCGAGACGTTCAAACATTACTCGCATGTGCGGTAGGGGCAGTCAGTGAAGCTGAAAAAATGTCAACGTTCGATGAATATTTATAAACGATCTCACTTTGGAGTAATCCTCATGAAATACATCCATACACGTATTTATGTAAGAATATCTTGATGTAATTTTTATTATGTTTATAAATAATAAATGCCGTGTAGTTGAGTACTCTTATTATTTACAAAGTATCTTTATTATATGCATATTTTTCAATCTGATTGACGAAAATTTGTGCCAAGTCGTCGTAGTCGTAGACTCGTTTTAAAAATGTGTCCGTAAGTTTTAAACCGGAAATAGTCTGTAAAGGAACGATACTTAGTACAGTGCATCTCCGTAATCTTCGTAATTCCCGTAAATCACTTACGATAATGCCTGTATCTAAGGTAATGAAACAGAGAGGTATGTCCATGGAAGCGCCGGGTTTCAGAGTGCCGATTGTTGTGTCAGACATCCCGCACCAAGCTACGGAATTATTCGATTCCAAACTCAATAACAATTCCATACTTCTTTCTCTATAGAAGAGAGTGAAAAAATTGTTATTATATTCACAATAATTCTATATATTCTTTTAATGTAATCGTACTTACGATGTATTTATTATATGGCATGTACAATTAACTGGTTCTTCAAGATGAGCTTTTAAAGGAATATTCTTTATGATAACCCTTAGATCCCCATATTCAGGTGCCTGAGACAACATTGGAACAATTTTATACACGATCATATTCGTTGAGGAATAACGTAACATACCATTCTCTGCAATTGACTCGTTTGCAATCTTCCTCTTTCTCCCAAATTGCTCCTCCACACGATGTCCAGTTTGCCAATATTTGTAGCATTTTGCATCATTTTCGGATCTTTCAATAAGCTTGACTGTGGTTTTAAACAATACAGATATTGTCTACTACAGCCTGTATCTAACTGATTTACACTTCCGTAGATAGATTCCCCTTCGTCGTTTGTATTCAACGTGGTTACTGAAATATGACGCGTTTTGAATTTAAGATTCCAAGTCAACATTGTCATAATTAGTAAAAACTTACCACTAAATAAGTGGGACGACTCGAGGGCTACTTTTTCTAAGCAAATTGGCCCAGATGTTAGATTCTGTATTTGTGCTTCGAGATATACCTCATCTGACTTCAAGAAATATTATCATGAAAACGCATTATCAGAGTACCATAACAATGGTATAAAATATCGTTAATACAATAGATATCTAAATATTACTTCTGCATTATAAAACTTGGTCTTCACATCTAGTGGTTTAACCACCTGGAACTTGAAATACTTTCTAAATGATAGCGGGGGTCCAATCTGATTTGTGTAAGACACTTCACAAACTAATCTGGAGAAACAAAAAGTGATGTATTTTTCATTTGAAGGTAAAAGTGAATTTTTGTTTTACACTTATGTAGGAAACTTATAAACATCCTTACATATGAGTACCTATTTCCTTAACCTCATGGTGAATAACTTCATCCACCGTGCTGTCAGGCGCTAATTCTTTCCCTTCCAGATTATTGGCGGATAGTGGAATTACTTGTGTACTCGTTTGTAAATCTGCCTACAAAATGCATAAACGCACAATGTTAGAAAACATGAAAATAAAATAGGATGTCAAATAGGGTCATCTAAAGAAAAAAAAACCTTAACATATAATTCAAACTTACTTTCACATTAACATTTTTTACCACTTGATTGCTGCCATTGTGAACACACAGGTAACTAGAGAATATCTCTCCTAAATATATATTTCTGAAATAACAAACATCACTTTCAATCTTGTACACTCATGGCTTGTCGCGATTAAGCGGAAGGAAAATTTCTGGGCAAGAGACATACCCAAAACTTTGAGGCAGTACCATAAACTGCCCTATGGCGAGTGCCTCCATGCCTTGCAATGCCGTGCAATCGTTCTTAAGTTCGTTGTTTAACGTATTGCCTGGCAAGTCTGTAGAATCGCACGTGACAACCATAGGGCTCGCCAGGATTGGATGTGTCAATCTCATTACTGTAGAAAACAATTTATTTGGAATTTTAGTAACGGATATAATTACTCTTTCACGTCATTTTTCCAGTCAGAAGATTGTCGTGCATTGAAGTAATTACTTAGTTAATAGTTTCTAATTCTAAAAGCAATAATTAACAAGCAATATAAGAGCAATATTCTTGCCCTTTCGTGATGTATTACCTTTCAAAGCCAGCAAGTGTTCACTCTTCGTCTTGACTTCCATCTTTTTCCGAATAAATCACGAAAGAAACATTAAACAAACGCTGTTAAATTATCTAAAAATTATTTGTGTATCGCTGTCAGATAAACGTCACTTTAGAACCCTAACCTCATTATCTTGTGTCAAATGTTTTTGTAGCTGCACCATAGTGTACTTTCTGCACTTCAAACGTACAAAAGGTTCGGAGTTCGGATACAAAGAACAAACTTATCGATACATCGCGAACTAATCGATTCAAGTCAAAATGATTGAAATTTGTTCGATATATGATTTAAAAAGAATTTTTAGTCCTTTATTTTTAGTCCCTAACTAGTTATTCATTATTCGCAATGTTGCTATTTATCTAATAAATTAAATAAATCTAATTAATTCGACATCTTTACATATAATGATATTATTGTTAAGATAATTCTCACTTTGCAATTTAGGCTTATAGATAATTTATTAGATAATAAAAGAAAGATAAAATATAACGATATAATGATATATATATTTAATTTGTGTATCTCTTTTTAAAAAGGCATCAAATTTAATGCAGTTTCCGTCATTTTCGACGATTACCCTAAGTCGATACCTCTGTTGAAAAAAGAATTGAGATTGAAGAATGCGTTATGGCTACCCATTGTGGCTACCAGATGAAGTAATCAAGGGACCTGTTTCGCAAATATAAATTTAACGGACCATGTTGTGATCTGTAGTTATAATCACATATCTATTACCGCTTTGTAACACGCTTTCCGTCCTTTAGGTCAAGGTATTTTGCTTGCTTGATACGATTGTCGAAAAGCTAACCTCTTTCGACGGTGTTTTGATTTTTGGGGAATCGTGCCAGCGACCGGTGGATTTGCTAATTGTACGCTATATAATTACAGTTTTATGCCTGCATGTTACGTAACTATCGCTTCGCGCGATGTTATTTCAATCCGCTCGTACTCGTGATTCATCACATGTACTTATCCTTTACTCATCCCTATTTTGCATATATTATAACCACTACACACACGTGGCATTCAGTCTCATACACATCTTTCTTCATACGTGTTTCAGAATATTGCGAACGGGCGACTATGTTTGACCAAAGAATCATAGCACTCGGTTTCGTCATGTGCTTGGTAACAGTATTTAACTTTTCCCTTCATCGGATCGAGGAAGGCCATGTGGGGGTGTATTTTCGAGTGAGTTGTCTCAAACGATAGATTCTATTCCTATTATCTCCAATAATCTTATTGCTTTTAACTGTATGAATATCTATCAGGGTGGTGCACTGTTGCCCCAAGTGAGCAATCCAGGATTTCACATGATGATACCGTTTCTGACCACTTATCGTCCGGTTCAAGTAACTCTGCAGACAGACGAAGTGAAGAATGTGCCATGTGGAACCAGCGGTGGTGTTATTATCTACTTTGATCGTATAGAAGTTGTGAATATATTAGGTGCAAATAGCGGTAAGTCGTGGAACAGATTTTTCTAATTTTTGAGAATGTTGATATATTTTGTGAAAGTATATATTAACAGATACTTACATTTTTGTGTAGTTTACAACATGGTGAGAAATTTCACAGTGGATTACGACCGCACTTTAATTTTTAACAAAGTGCATCATGAATTAAACCAATTTTGTTCTGTACACACATTACATGAAGTGTACATTGATCTGTTTGATCAAATTGATGAAAATCTGAAGACTGCACTTCAAAGAGACTTGAATGAATTAGCGCCTGGTCTTAATATTCAAGCTGTAAGAGTAACGAAGCCAAAAATTCCTGAAACAATCAGGAAGAACTACGAATTAATGTAAGGGATTACTCTGCTAATTAATTAGGTTGCTTTGTACAGTTCAATTTTCTTTATATTTCTATAGTTTATATATTAATGTATTTTTATACAATATTTTGAATTATCCAGGGAAGCAGAGAAAACGAAGCTATTAATATCCACGCAACATCAGAAAGTAGTAGAGAAAGATGCTGAGACCGATCGCAAGAAGGCCATCATTGAGGCTGAAAAGGAAGCGCTAGTTGCAAAGATTCAATACAATCAAAAGATTATGGAGAAAGAATCCCTACAACAAATGGCTGCCATAGAAGACGAGATGCATTTAGCAAGGCAAAAAAGCCGTTCAGATGCCGAATTTTACCAGATGAAAATGCAAGCCGAGGCGAACAAAATACTTTTGTCTAAGGAATTTTTAGAGCTCAAGAAATATGAGGCATTGGCACACAACACTAAAATATATTACGGGCAAGACATTCCCAGAATGTTTGCATTTGGTAGTTGCTTGAATGATGCCGACTTCAAATCTAATACCAATATTGCACAAAAGTGATGAACTATAGATAGTGCAATTCAGATACCTTATTTTGATGATTACTGTTACATAAGATGAAACGTGATGGATCTTATCTTTTCGGATGAGTACTTTTATAGAGAATCGAAAAACTTTGGAAAATTTACAACTCCTAGTTGTGCGCAGGGACATTTTTTTTTATATAGAAAGCATATATTGTTACATAGGACCGTATTTATTACATAGGTCCGTTCTTATCTCAAGACCGTATATAAGACCGAACTGTGAATATCAGCCATAGATTGTACAGACGATTCTAGAATTTTGGAGTGTTACTTATTCCTCCTAATTAATTGTGTGGAATTAAAATTTTGTATGAATGTATTTATTAAATCTATATAGTATAGATAGATAGATACATTACGAATACAAATACATGATCCGTTTTTTTATTATATATAATGAAAAACGTTTTCTCTTCAATATAAGGTGATTATGTAATAATTACACAAGCATGTAATATGTAATAATTACATAATCCTGAATTATTAACATAAAAAATGACTATAAAAAGTAATATCTTGATTAGGAATCTGCATTAAAATAAAATTTAATAACTACTTTAGCATCAATTTTTTTTCCAAAGAAGAAAATTGTTAAGTGAAATATTTAAATTACATTTTTAAATTATGTTTTTCATTCGTCTTATGGTCGTAGTTCTTCCAAAACATTTGTAATAGTTTTTGTTCTTATTAAGCTATGCAATTTTTTGTTTACGACTGTACTTGATTTTTTATAAGGAAGGGTAAAAGCTATAGTGATGTAAGTCAAATTTTTAAAAATATTAACTCGTGTGTGCATAGATGCAATCTATACAATATATAAATTGCATCTATGAACACAAGTCAATATTTTAAAAAATTTGACTTACACCACTATGGCTTTTACCCCTCCATATATAAAGGTGTATTAATTGGCTTATTCATCTTCTTTTGATGTTATTAGAGAATAAAGACAAAATTAATATTAAATTTAAAGGTAAACAAATTTTTTTGTTTATTTAATTTCCATGCATAATATATTATTCCGTTATTGCTTTTTTTACAAGGAAAATTAAACCATTTTTCGTATTAATACACGGAGAAAATTTTATGTTAAATTTTACTATGCTGCCGCACCAACTGCGGACCATCAAGACGCCCAAGTTTAAATGCTATAGTCTTGTGTAAAATTAAAATTACTATGTCCATAGCATTTAATGCTACGATCATAGCATTCAATGCTATAATAATGCTATGATCGTATCACTAAATGCTATGAACATAGTAATTTTACACAAGACTATAGCATTTAAACTTGGGCGTCTTGATGGTCCGCAGTTGGTGCGGCAGCATAGTAAAATTTAACATAAAATTTTCTCCGTGTATGTATAAGTTCAGAAATATATGAGATGAGATGTCATTTGATTTTTTTACGATGTTCTCTCGCTCTACGCATATGGACTTTAGGCTCTTCCAACGGTAAGGATTTAACATCGTTTATGTTCTGATTTAACGTCCGTAATTCTTCCAGTGCTCTTTTAGCTAATTTCCCTTCTGGCGTAGTCGGCGGTTCCAAAAGAAGCATAGTCAGTGCTTTCTTTAAAAGATCCTTAGCTTCTTCCAGTTGGCAGGCCAACTGCGTTGAAGAAATTTCACGTGCAGAATAAGATCGATTCGCCAATATTATTACAGGCAAATGCATCTCGTATAACATTATGCCTAAAACCAATATTTATAATATTCATAAATATTTTTCTTAATCGTATAAAAATTTCTTTATAAAAACTTGTAACATTAGAATATTATTTTTTTTCCAGATATTTATAATTTATGTTATCTGAATATTATGCAGTCTAAACAATAATGCGTTCGTACCTTTTAAACGTGATATGCCCGGCTCTACTATGTCTAAGACATTATAGACTTCCTTACACGTATCCAACATTTTTTGAACAATCTTTTTCTGAGGATTAGGAGATGTTATTTCTTTTCTGCAGGCTGTTAACAATTTCTGCTTTAAAGACAACATTAGGAAATGATTGGTATGCAAAGATTGGGACAATTTCCTAAGTAAGTTGTCTATCCTCTGAAAAATATTAAGCTGCTGCAATGATTATGGAAAAAAAATGTAAAGCTCTAAATATATAATCACGAACTTTTATGTCAACGTCCTCGCATTCGTCGATAAGTGTTCTGCATATGTTCAACGTAGCTCTGATAAGATGACCGCCGTAGGTCCTCTTGCACATCTGACATTGCCATCGACTTCGCTCGTATGGATCGACGATGGAGGTATCTTGCATACCTATGAATCCTTTTTTACAACGCGGACATAGCACGCTACTTAAATGCGACTGCAATTCGTATGGATCTGTACATAGAGAGCACTCGCATTCGAAATACTTTCCCTCTCGAAGATGCTCTTTTCTGTCAGCTGTACCCTAATAGTTAAATATATTAATATTGGTGTATAAATTAGGAAATATTGCTTTTTAAAGTTCACTCAGCACATAAATAATAATAAGTGTCTCTTTCAAATCTAACAACAATAAAAATATTTTTAGTAAAAAATATAGTCTTTGATTGAATCGTTAGATAATATTGAATTAACTTAAATTAAATTATCCAATAATATTGAAATATTAGTGAAAGAAAGTAAAATATTATTAATTTTGTTAGAGTTTTGTTATAATTGTGCAACTAACTGACCAGCAACGACGAGGTATAATTAAATAGGATAGGTTCGTCCTGTTTAATCGCTACGCTCGCATAAATGGTCAGTTGGAAATTGTCGTCCACGGTGAGGTGAGTGTTGCCTCTGCAGTCATGAGCCATCAGGGTCGCCTCGATGTATAAACCTCGTAGAAGAAGACCGTCAACAGCACCAGGTGATCGCAACTCGAAGGCATTCACATCCAAAATGCCGCACAATTTGTGCATTAATTCCGCGCTCGGTGGCTCGATCTCAGCGGGCATGCGAAACCTTCGAATTACCTGTACCACATACATATACCGCACATATATACAATGGGACAACTAAAACACCTTGGATGCTTTCGAACAAAGGAAACTTATTAGGTAAATATCTTGAAAATATTTATGCTGTTCTTGTGCTTAATTTGCATGATTAGATTAAACGTTTAATATATATGTAAAAATCTGATTTATGTGAAACTCACATCTACGATATTGACTTCTCTGTCCCTCCAAATGGATGTGCCAATCCTTTTATCCAAATGTGCCTCCATACGATCTATTTTCTCCCACACAGTTGGATCCTTGTGTTTTATTAGCCATAGTCGCAAGGCCAGTAAAATTCCCGCCGCATCAATTCCGTTTTCCGTCAATAGATCTCGATTATCTCTAAATATTTGGCATTCTTCATTCGTGTGATGCTTTATTCGTGCCTTCGAAGATACGTGAAAGAAGATTAAAAGTGCTATTTCGAAAGTGACATAATTAACTTTGCGTAACACAGCGATTCTCAATAAGCTTTATCCTGCAGTTCTTTTTATATGAGCAAAATTTCGTAAAATCACTGATTGCATATATTTTTCACAAATAATCTCACTCGCAAGAGTTTAAGTTTTATCCAACGGCTCGTGCGAAAATGCTTTTTTCCATCGTCCGATAACAAATTGTTTCTGAGACGTCTCTTTGAGAATCGCCGTTGTATAACGTACTCCGTAACTTGTTACCTCGCATGCTACGCTGCACAGCGGTGCAAAGTTACATCTGGAACAAGCATACTGTCTCCCTTTGACAATTTTTGGTAATGTGCGCATACAAGCAAAGCAGAAACAATCCTTGTACATCATGGGACCGACCGCGATCGGTTCCTCTCGAATTATAACTTCCCCCGGCGTTATGTTTTTAGCTGATACGAGATACCTTATGAACAAAAGATTATAGTTTGCAACAATTATAATTACGGTTGTGCAAAACTAAATACACATATGCTTCAATACATAGCGCAAGCGTATTTATTTTGTAAATGCAGAGAAATGTCAAACTTATTTTAAGGATAAAATCGATAATTAAGGATAAACACGTAAAGAATTAATTTCTTCTTTCTGTTGGTTCTATTTCTTTTAAAATTATTTAATAAAAGTTTTAATGACTTAACTGTATAAACAAATAAAGAGTGTGCAAATGATGAAATAATGTTTTCAAATAAGCACATGTGTTTTAAGATTTTGTCTCAATTTGATTATACGATAATTAGTAATTAGTATGTAAATTATACAAAGAGACATATTAGTATAATGCTAAATTGTAACTGCGACTATACCTTCCAAGCTTCTTCGAATGCGTAACCTTGTACTTCGCGGTGGACGTCATATCTCCAGATTACTTCCTTCAAGTTAGCGATTGTCGACCCGTAACTAGCATTGGCAAGCAGGCATTAGTAATATGAACCGTCTTCCTTAGGCACTCACGCGACGGGCTGTATTATTAGATACTGCGTGGCATCGCGCGCAACCTGTAATGTTAGTACAGTACGTGATGTACGCATTAGCAGTACAATATATATATACACATATACATACATATAACAAGAGAGGGAAAAAAATCTATTGGATATTTTCTTAAGATATCTCGTTAAAAATTCATAATATCGAGAAATTTTATGTAAATTTTCCGTTCTACAGACTTTCTACTTTGTTACAGAATTAGAAATATTTTTAGGATATTGAATGAAAATTACAAATTTCTTTTGTAACTTTTATATTTTTATTAACATTTTCTACTCTATATGAGAATAATTTAATAATAATTAATACATTGTAATTCATTGTATATTGCATAATAATTTGAAGAAATTATAAGACACTTGTGTGTAATATTTGGGATATTCAGGATGGTATTTCTTAGTGTACCCTATTTTCTCTTTCAGTTGTTTCATAAAAATCACTTTCCTTGATCAAAAAATTGCAAAATATAATCAGATGGAATTGGCACTTGTTGGTTTCTCGAGAGACCTCAAGAAACATGATGTTTATTAATATATAATAAATTTATACAAATAACGAGATTTTACAACAGATACTTATAAATCATTTATGGATTGTTCCAGTTGAACTATAGATTCCTTCGCGACGAGTCCTATTTGTCCCTCGGACGTCTCTGGTTGCTCTAAGCTTAATATCGTAGCCGCCTCTTTTAAAATATTCGCCGCTTCTATCATTTTAGACTTCAGTCCGGCCTCGTCAATGACACCGGCATTCCACTGACCTTTCGCTAAAAATAGTAACGGTGCGTGTAACTCGTATAGCGTCATGCCTGCAACCAAAAAGGTAAAGCAACAAAGTTATTCATACATATTTTCTCTAATTTTCTTTAATTTTCTCTAATTTATAAGAAATATATACCTCTTACACGACTGTACCCAGGTTCTACAACATCCAATACTTGAAGCAATAAACGGCACATCTCGACTTTATGCTCCAATACAACATCCGGCAAATCGTCCAACAAATATTCGTCAACCCGGCCGTACATTTGAGTCAATGAGTGTCTAAGAAATATTATATTCCGCAATTTAGGAATTTTTAACAATATATAATGTGAAAAGTATGTTATGCGAGAATAATTAAATTTGGTAAAATTGACTTTGTCGAATTTAATTAATTTTTATATCTTTATTAAAGATATTTATTATTATCTGGCAACTGTGTTCCGTACCTTAACATCGAAAGAAAGGCATGACGGGGGTGTAAAACCGATCTGTACTTTTTCATAATGGTCTCTCTTGCGTTAATCGCATCAGCTCCGTCAGCTCCGCTGATGGCTTCAACGGCGTCAACTTCCGCTTGAATTATCTGCAGAACTTTTCGTACTGCGTGACCGTTGGTGGAAAAATCGCAATGCGTACATTTCCATGTACTTTGCGGATCTGAAAAATATTGTTGATCGTGTAGATGCAATCGCTATTTTATACATTCTCAATCATTAATATAATAAAATTAGAAATGCTGTTAATATTACATTATTGCCAAAAACCAAAAAACTAATATAATTTCAATTCCTGACATTGAAGGAACTTTATGTTGATTCTTGTATTTTGTTTACTCGCAATTAAATGTAACAATCATTATTGCACGATTGTGATATTTAAAACTAAACTCAATAAACCCGTTTCAATTATCGATTTCTGCTCAACTTAAAGTCGCAACTTAAAGAAAATATTAATTAATAGATAATATATTGCGGTACCTAGAGAATCCAGCGACAAAACGATTCCGTTGTCGCATTTGTTGCACTTCAGTGAGGACATGTGAGTGCTCAGTTCCGTAGGATCTGAACATCGGGGGCACGCGCACGCGAAGTGCTTACCCTCGAGCAGATGCTCTCTCCGTAGCATCGTCGGAAGTAACGAGTGCGTGTAACTCGCGTAGAGTTCACCGCCCGCAGGAATTTTAAGCGTGGTACGCAGCCGTATCCTGTGGACGCAAGAACCTCGTGCATAATTGTTATTCGCATTTAATACGGGGCGTATCTTCATCAGCATAATAAACCGCGTGAGATTTCCTGGGAATCGCGCGCAACGCGCGAATTAATTGAGGAAGGACTGCGTGCATGAGCGTGTAGTAAGTAAGAAAATTAAGATCGCTGCTGCTTAAGATACCACTTAGACCTTTTGCCGATGATAGCTATAGTCTATCATTACAAAGAATTATGTTTTCGTTACATGTCTCCGTTCAAACAAACAACGGTCACTAATTGATGTACCTGTAATCAACCGGCGAGATGCTGTGAGACGTGTTCGAGACGCACGAGTGATTCATCAAAGCGACTGTCGGATAGAGACCACGTGCGCTGAACCCTTTCGCCGTTCGCACCTCGAACGTGTTAATTTCCAAGATACCGCATGCCATTTGTATGTACTCTTCTGAGAATCTGCGTCCAAAATATTTATTTTCAAGAACAGTTTCAAGTCAAAGGAATATGTTATGGTAAAGCACCGCAGTATATACCTGTCAAGTTTGAGCCGTTTTCTCAGATAATCCACAATATTGACGTGATCTGACTTCCATTGCGGTTTCTGACATCTTATCTTACTATGCGCCTCCATATCCTTCACTTCCTTGTTCCACTTTTCGACGTTTTTTTCCGACTCCAACAATAGTCTCAACGGCGTTATGCATTCTAACTGCGGAATACCGTTTTCGCTGTTTCCCTCCAGAGCGGCGTCTACGTTAAACTTCTCGTTCGCCTGTGCAAACACCTATCGAAGAAAATAGATCTTTAGACAAACGCTGCCAAACACAATATCGAAGACAAACATTCGCAGTTAAAAACAGCCCGTTGCTATCTACGGCTTTATGGATTTAAAGACTGAAGATCGCATACTGCGTTCTTTTAAATTTTCCCTATAGTCCAATCTTCTTATTAAAAAGGCAGATTTATTCTTAGGCCATAGCTTCTTGTAGGATTTTTAAGACAGTAAATATAGAAAAAGCTCTTCAATTGAAGTCTTATAATTACCTGGCACTCGTAATCTTTATGTTGCGGAGCATCTTCGCAGTCTTGGCCGCAGACAGGCCATCCGCACTTAGAACATAACGGTTTGTTATCCGATTCCGGGGGCCAAGGTGTATAGCAGGAGAGACACAAGGGATAAGTGCATGCCTTCGGTCCGACGACGAAGGGCATTTCTGTGACGATTTCTTCACCAGCCTGTAGTTCTCTACTCGCGACCATGTATCTGGGAGCATCAAATGCAATTCTTATAAATAAACGTTTAATTAGAATACACGTGATCAAAATAATTATATTATTCTAATCCCGAAAAACATTGATATAACTTTTTCCACGTCAGATCACGTTAAATTTTTTCTAAGTCATTTGTAGACTTCTGCTGTAGTTTAATAAGTATAGTATATCAATTTTATATTGTCATGCAAATCACATGTGTATTCATTAATTCATCCGATTACTCTGATGAAATTCTGCAAATGTTTAATTTATTCCAGCCTTAATGCACCGCGCAGTCTCTCATTAAGAGAATATTTCCTGTTTAAAATTATTCATGGACTTCTGACCCTATATTTTACCTCAGCTAGAACAATTTATCAGTTCCACTTTTTCTTTTTTCTCACCTGCCAACTTGATCATTCTGCAGCACTTCGTACGCTCGCGACGCGGATGCACCACTTTCCTAAAATATTCAAAGAATGTAACAAAACCATGTTGAAATACATTACAAGTTGCACGGACTAATGTCGCAAATATTTACATTTCTCGTCAAGACGTTTGTAAATAGATAAAAATATATAAAATCATCAAAGAGACGATCTCGATTAAATTCCAATTAACTCGACCGGCGATTAATTCAACCGACAAAATTGGTTGTAACAAAATATCTGACTACATGATTCGTCGTCCTTATAATCTTTCTTTCCACATATGTCAATCGAAAGATATGAAACGTTATCTACATAGTACAAGTGTCACTTAACAAATTAATCAAGTCAATCAGAGTTTGGTCCAAAGTGTCATTATAAGAACGTACCGATTCTTGCGACATGGTCGATTGAGAACCAAGCCGGTAAGAAGTAGCTTTCTTCGTCAATGAGCCACTGATTGCTGCATCGATTGAAGGCCTGTGCTGGCCTGTGCTTGAACTGAGCCAAAGCGTGCTTGCCGCACGCTTTATATTCCCGGCTTATTAAAAATATCACGCGCAAGCCTTGCCAATGGTACAATCTAGTATGTACCAGGCGGGTAGTGAGATTTGTGCCGCTTTCAGACACGATGTATTGCGCTCAGATACGTCGCGACCACGCGGCCGGTGTATTTTTGGGTCTCTAAACGTACAGAAGGATCTAAAAGCTTCCATCATTTTCTACATATACTTATTTACCGCAACTGTGCATCGCAAATCTTCTCGGTCTTCTCGTGCTCTACGTTATCGTTTATTTTCCTGTTATTATTACTTCTCATCGACGTGCCACCAACCTTTAAATTGCAATGTTTATCGGACCTTAAATTATAACTGTGGAATATAGTAAAACACTTTGAGACCAAAAGCCTGACGAGAAATTGAAAGGAATACGCAATTATAAATTCTGGTTATTTCTGTTTACATTCTGTTTACAAATACCTCTTTCAAATCTGTCTTGGCGTTCGATCATTCTCTAATTCAAGCAAATTCACGGAATTTTCATGTTATCGAACAGCATGCATGATTAAATTATTACATGCACACGCCATTAATGCGTTAACATACGAATCTATGCACATATCGAAATATGTGTTTAATATATCCAGAAATTAATTTCTTAAGGTATTAATAATTCTATAAATGAATTTTTAATAAATCGACAACCTGTTCGAAGCCTGAGAGTGGCCTCGACCAAATTTCAATTAACTTGTCAAATAAAAATTATCAATAGATAACAATTATCAATTGATAACAAAGTTATCAATTTTTGTTCTTCGAAACGCGAGAAGAAATATTAAATTAGGAATAACGAATTGTATAATTGTATATATAGTTAAAAATTATAATTATAATTGTAGGAATTTTGCTGTAAACAACTCTGTTGATCGAATTAATCATCGATTGAGTGATAATCCGAGTTTGATCGAGTCACCCTGTATTTATTCGCGCAGATTCAAACAGTTCAAACCGTTCGATCTATCGGACCTGACTTCGGGTCGAAGTCGAGCTCGTTTACCGCTCGCGATCGAGTCTCGCGACGAACACGAAAACATTTCTCGCTCGGATTCGTCTGAACGCCCCAAGTTTACGATCGTCCCGATCGCTTCCGGCTCTCAAACGTTCCCAGCTTCCCAGTTCGATCGGCACAATTCGAATCCAAACGTCGCGTCGCGTCGGGACGCGTTGCGAACGGTTGCGGAGCGGAACGAACGCCGCGCGCCGCCTTCGCGCAGAAATAGGCCAGGCGCTTTTTCTCTCGCGCAACGTCGGCGCGCATGCGCGCCCACCGTCCGTGGGTCGCGGACTCTTTCTCTCCCTGCAGTCCCTGCGCTCTCTCTGTCTCGTCGTCTCTCGCGACGTTGCGCGACGTACCCTGCGAAAGAGAGTTGCGCATTTTTCCGTCTCGTGCCCACCAAGACTGTAAGTACATCATCGCCGCGGAGTTCAACCCCCGCGACGGGAAATCCGTCGCGTCGCGAACCTCCGAGATTCGCGGGACGGTCGCGGTGTGGGATGTTGGACGCGGGAGAGAAGCGAACGCGTGTCGGGAACGGGTTTGCGGTCCCTCGTCACGGGGAAACCGGCACGGGATCGCGATCGCAATGTCGTCTGCCGTGGCCTTGTAGAACGCCGTTTCGGGAGGACTTTCGCGTTGCCGGGCGAGCGGAGGCTGGTTTTTCGACGCGCGGCGACGTGCGGAGCGACTTCTAAGTTAGAATCCTGAACGATCGCGGCATCGGTTGGTCGGGCTCATGGATGTGATATTCCTACATCCATTGTCGGGCTTATGTAATACTCGCGAGAGACAGGTCAATACTATTCCGTTCGTACGTATGTTGGAGCTTACATTTCGCGATACCGTAGCACCGGGGATTTGTTTGCGTTAGGCTCTCGTGACAGAGTGACTTTGAGTTTTTTTTTTATGATCCTGAAAGAGCCGCCGCTTTCTTTAAGATTTGCGGACGTGGCACGTTTCAAGTTGCCCAGTGAATAAACCTACGTGTGAAAACGTTTTGCTCCGTTCCATGAATGGATCAATGTACACGTATATGTATTTATCATATAGAATACAGAGAGTATACATTGTTGGCATATGTATCTCGAATTAAATTTAGTCTGCAGTTTTATTGTGGTTATCTATATTTAGCTTTCTGTCCTTGTCCAATCTGTTGTTCTGGGCTAGATCAATTTGTGAATGGCGACAATAGCGAGTCATTAAACAGATATTTTTACTACGTTGCAGAACATGGCTCCTCCGACGTACAACGACCTAGGAAAGAGTGCTCGTGACGTATTTGGTCAAGGTTACCACTTCGGTTTGTTTAAACTTGATGTGAAGACCAAGACTAATTCCGACGTAGAGTTCTCTTGCGGCGGCGTGTCCAATCAGGACACGGGAAAGGTGTTCGGTAACTTGGAGACTAGGTACAAGTTCAAGGAACATGGGTTGACGTTTAGCGAGAAGTGGAATACCGACAATACTCTTGGGACCGAAGTCAGCATTGCGAATAAGTTGCTCAATGGTCTCACGGTCGGCTACAGCTGTACCTTCTCCCCACAAACCGGGTAAGATGGTTTGCGAGTATCAAAAACTTGAATGTTCCGCGATTTGTAGTAAATATATTTGAATATTTTATTTTTGTATTTGCAGTTCCAAGACCGGAAAACTGAAGACGACTTATAAACATGAAAATGTGTCTGCAACTGCTGATTTTGATCTCAGTCTGTCTGCTGGACCTCTAGTTTACACCTCGGCTGTCGTGGGTTATCAAGGTAAATTTAAATATTAAATACATTCATTAGTATCAAAGCTTGACAATATCTTTTTGACACACAATTTAGATCTTTTATGTGCCCATCCCTTTGTCCCAAATACATATTTCCTTATTCTGAACAAGTGGAATGTTTTATAAGTAAAAAAGTAAGCCTGTGTCACACATTTAATTCAAATATTAATTGCGTTATCTGAAAGATTGTTGTTTAGATCAACATATTATTATATTTTACAGGATGGCTGGGTGGTTATCAGGCATCCTTTGACTCACAAAGAAACAAACTTACAAGGAACAACTTTGCTCTTGGATTTACCGCTTCTGACTTTACTCTTCATAGCGCTGTGTAAGTATAATAACAAAAATGTAATACTGTGAGGCATTTCTCGATTTGATTGACATTTGATTAACGTGATATTTTTAATATGTTTTCAGTGATAATGGTCGCGAGTTTAGTAGCTCCATTTATCACAAAATAAAGCCGGAATTGGAGGGAGCAATTAACTTGGCGTATAATTCCAGTAATAATGTAACACAATTTGGTATTGGCGCAAAGTATAATCTTGATAATGATGCTAACATTAGAGCCAAAGTGAATTCTAATCTACAAATAGGTTTGGGATACCAACAGAAACTGCGGGACGGTGAGTAATAATTCCAAAAAATATTTCCTTTTAAAGGTTGAAACAATAGGAAAATATCTTAACATTTTTGTAAGCGTATGATGCAACATAAATCTGTTTAAATAATTTTATGTATAAATTCAAAAATATTTGGTATATATTATAGTACGCACAAGTGCAATGAGAAAAAGTACGTAATATGTTTTTTGTTCGCGGTACTAGCAAAACATTCTATTAATAACTTGTGCTCTGAGAGTGTCCTCTGAGTATTCACACTATGTGGAGAATAAGCTTTTTGGCAGAGTGACAACTTCACAATGGTCTATAGTAATGATTTATGCAATATACAGATATTAAGTTAATAAATCTTTTTACAAAAGGAAATTTATATATTAATAATTATTAATAAATCGCTAAATAACTGAATATCTATTTACAGGTGTAACTTTGACGCTTTCTACAAACATTGACGGGAAGAACTTTGGCTCTGGTGGCCACAAGTATGGCGTCGCACTAGATCTCCAGGCTTAAATACGTACCATATAAAGTAATGCTTATTACGAGAAAGCAAAAAATTTATCCCATACGAATACATATTTCGTGACTTCTGTGTCATAAAATCGGCGTGACAGTACATGCTTCAAATAAAATATTACCTATAACATGTAGATAGATTGATCCTTGAATAGATGCTACAAAATATCATTTGAGATTAGTTGGCGATCGCATTAGTTTAATATACATAATTATGACCATGAATCAGCAATATCTCTTGTGAACAATATGGCATCGTAATTACGCATACAAGTTTGTACTGTTAGTCGTATTGAAATTCCACGCGCAGTTTTTTGTCAGTTCCTGTTAACTGAAATTCTTTCCATAATCGAAAATGATACGCTGGGGTAATATAAAGTGAAGAGGGAAGAAAGAGAAAAAAGGCAATAGTTAGGCAATAGTATGAGAAAAGTTGACATTTAATAAAAACATATGAAAAGGAGATATTTAACATGAAAAATTTTGTCCGTTTACAGTAAATGTGCATAAATATCCGTATTATTAAGAATATTTTTGTATTATACTTTGTATTCGATTATCATATTATTTCATATATGAGTAATATAATTTTCGAGCAAAGTAAAATATTTTTATAAAACGTTACAATGGTTTTAATCAGATAACTGACATTGCAAATCACGTATCTTATCTCTTGTTGGATAGGACCAGATTAGAGTATATGACGTGCATATTTTTATGCAATCAAATAGTGTTAATAATGCGATTGATAGTAAATGTATGCGCATTTCTTTCTTTTGGTATTTCACATAAGTAATATAAAAATATGATGCCTTCTCTAATTCATATAAATAATGCAATTATACTTGTATAGATTACAAAATTAGAAACCATTCATGCCATTCTCTTATCTCTTATTATAAGGAACAGATGTATCCATGTCTGTTTCTTGTTAAGAAGTACTGCCAGTTTGGCTAAATTATGATGTTTGCCTCAGATGTTAAACAAAGTATATTCCGTTACAGAATTCACATGTGTAGTCACGTATGTATAAATGATAATGGTCATATTTTCAAAAGACATGATGAGTAATTCATATATGTATAATTCCATTACTTTATTTTATATAGGAAATAATAATTGTTTGTGAGATAAAAATGGCTTTTATTCTCCTAACTATTAGTTATTATGTGTGGATTCAGTAAAGAATGTTGTACGAAGTACGAATGTGATTTATTTACAAGAAGAACTTACATTGTTTTTTTTCTCATCTACAACATTATCTAAATCGACTGCAAATAAACAACCATTTTAAATGTTTTTTCTGAATTCATTTGCGATAAAATTGATTTTTAGTTACATTTTTTTAATGAGTGATACGAAATGATGGAGAATTGGTATTGCAAAGCAGTAAGGGTAATATACATTTAACGTATTTTAAATGTACAATATCGACTACTGTCAATTCTAAAAACAATGCGGATATATTTCTGGAACGGAAGATTTTACGTAGAAAATAATCGAATATAAATGGATGACGTGCATTGGGCGATATTTGTGTCTCAACAATGAGCTATATAAATATTCACTATTTTGGCTGACTGTGTATTGTGTACATATTGTAAATGATTCCCGTGTTCCTCATTTGACATTTCTCCGTGTTAAACAAAATCTATATTAATGCACCATCTGATCGTCCATTGCTTTCGCGATCCATTCTGGCTCCGTTTGAGCTATTTTCTCGATAATTTGATTCACTTGATAACATAGCGATTGTATTTGTTTGTCCCATGTAGGTAAAGTCTCACGTGCTATATGGAAAAATAAGACATATTAACTTCTATAATTTGTGTGCGTAAAGAACGAAAAATACTTACAAATTCAAAAATTTAAAGCAACTTACTTTCGAAATGTACTATGGAATCGATTTGATCTATATATCCATTCATTCTGCCTTCAGTAATCATTTGGCTAGCGATTTTTTCCGCTTTAGTAGGTGGAATATCCAATAAAGCACCTAATTCTTCGAACGAAATGTTGTTGTACAATTTACTAGCGGACAATAAATTATGTTCGATAACGGCACGGTCGAGTATAGTGGAACCTAATCCGTCGATAGTGGACGCTTTCTGGTGAGGTTGCAATAATGCTTCAAATTCCTGCAATTCAGAACGCCGAATGATACGGTCCAGATACATTTTCTCAAGAATCGAATAAGCCGGGAGTTGTTGGCAGCGTTCGTCTTTGAACAACGTAGCCAACATCCGACTTCTCTGCTGTCCTGTAAGAAGAATAAATGTGAATAATCCAGTCTAAGAAATGAAACGAGCGTAAGGTTGATCAATCGCTTGCCTGCAGAAGCCAATACTGTGCAAATCAATGCATTTCTAAGAGCAGTCATGCGTTCATCTTCATGAATGATGGACCTATATGATAACTCATTGTACCTCTGAGCTGCTTCTATAAACTTTCTTCTATAATCTAGTACTCTTGCATAGCATACTTTATAATAGATTTGTAACTGTTCGTTTTTAGATTCGGCCTATGGAACAATGAAAAATTAAATAACTGAAATATAAGAAAAAAATAAGTTTGAGAGAGAGAGAGAGAGCGAGAGAGAACAAAGGAACTACCTGTAAAAGTGATGCTCGATTGATAAACGCTTCAGCCTGTACTGGGTCATCATCTTCCAAATATAATCTAGCAATTTTAAGGTAAGTTTCGAGTTTGTAATCGATAGTATATTGCCTGAAACGATTAATTTCGTCAATGTCACGTGTGTAAACAATAACAGAAGTTGACTGATGTATGTATATGTTACTTTTGTCCTGTTTCCAGTGGTATGCCAACTAAAACATTCGCAGCTTCTCGCCAGTTCTGATTACGTTCATAAATATCAGCTAAATGTTGCCTTATGCTAGCTACTTGCTCTTCAAAAGAGATCACACGTGGTTGAACCTGTATAAACATTGCATTATTTTAACCGAAATACGCTTTAATATCTAAATTACTCTCATTTCCGTCTCATTATCAATCGAAGAATAAGATTTACCTTGTCTAGCGTGTAATGTGACACAGCTTTTGATATTTCATCGGGCAAGAACAGTAAACGACTACTGACATCGGTCAGTACTTGTCTTGAGATTACCAGGCTCACGTTTTCGTTCACAACTATAATAAAAATTTATTTAAGAGGGTTATTTCTCTGAACGTAGAATGTATGCATTGACAAACTGATACATCAACCGTCTGTGTCCCAACACTAAACTATGGTCAGTACTCCAAGATCTGGCTTTTTAATAGAACTTTTTACATCATTCATCTTTCCTCTTTTTTTCTCCACATTGGAAAATGTAAGAAGTTCAACTAAAAAGTACGCACCACTAATCTTGTCTCACGTGGCTCAAAAATGATTACGTTATTATTACATGAACATTTCAATATTATATCAAAATAGAACAATATATTAGGTTTCGATTACAGATAATTTTTATGCAAACACAGTACTATCATGGTTCTAGTAATCACAGTACTGTCTATCCTTCACGCGTTTACTTTCTAGACCAGGAGGTCTGCATTCCTCTCGTAACCTGTCCGCGCGGCGTGTTAAGCGCAATTTTTTTCGGAGGACATTACAGTGCCCGTGCGACGGTTCTGGTGCGTCTCCGCGTGCGCGCGAAGTGCCAGCGGGACAAAAATAACGTACTTGCTTCGATGAACGTCTTCAAGGCATCGACTAGCTCCTCGCCGGAAGACAACAATATCGTGTCCAGGGTTGAGCGGTATCTAAACAGAGAACGACACGCTCGTGAGTGTACGATCGGAGCGTGGCTCCGTTGTACTCGACGCACGTACTTTTCGGCCTGGTCTTTGTGGGAACCGCCGGAATGCGCCAAATTACTGAGTTGTTGACGCACGGAAGCCACCGTCACCACCATCTTCTCGCGCGATGATATCACTTGCCACTGCTGCTGCTGCTGCCGACTTCTGTGGTTCCGTGTAAAAAGAGGTCCGAAAGATGCTCGCGGACATGCTCGCATTTCAGGAGGCTCGTTCGTCAGCGCCTCAATGTACGCAGAACTACGTAGCCGATATACGATATTCTCGATGGGTAACGTGCTGAGCGCGTAGCTTCTGGTTCCGTTCCGTGCTACGTTCACAAATAAGTGATGAACGATAAATCAATAATGCGACAATTATATATATGCATATCAAATGGGTTTCTACCACATTTTGGGAGCTTCCAAGCAAGCGACACAAACGTCGTTCTATCTTTCTTTTTTTGGCAATGAGTAACAAATACAAAACGGCTGGATTCGGGGAGCGCGCTATTATAGCGCTATTTGCTTGTTCTATCCTTGTTTTACACCTGATGAGCGATAAAGACAGAATGATGCAATAGCGCTAATAGCGCGCTCCTCGAATGCAGCCAAAGACACTTAATTCGGTTTTAACTTTTTTTTTATTAAGCGGTATCCATATAATTAATGTACAGAATCTAAGCCGATTTTTAGTACTTTTTTAATTAAAAAAAAACCTAAATTTGAGAAAGTATAGCTTGCTAAAGTTTATTTGATGACGGCAATTTCAAAAGGTATGACGCCGCGTCATTTCGCATATAAGGTATGACGTCACAGCACATTTTTATGTACTATATTTTCTTCAATTTTGAAGATATTGCAAAAATTCAAAAAGTTTACAAAGAAAGTATCCCATGATCTGTCAGACTGCTTAATAAAAAAAATTTATGTTAAAACCGAATTGTGTCGACTTGCGTAGCTTGCTGCTCCCTTTGTTGTTCATTTTCATTTCTTCAGTTTAATATGTTCTGCAATAGATTAATTTTTTATCGGTTCGTGAAAAAGTATTCTCCTACAAAGGTAATAATATTTAACAAATGTGGTCAAATGGGTATAAAAATTATGCATGATACAAAATTTAACATTTTTATATTATTATAATTTTTTTATTATGGCAGCCAAGATATCAAGACAGGATCATTTTTCGTTGACATACATCAGCTAGAATGCATGGTATGATCAGCGACAATTTTCACGTATCGTACGTATATCTTAATTGATACATTAATCAAATATATCATTATTAATAATAATAAACTTTTATCGATATGATAACACGTTAGGAGCCTAAGGAACGTCTATTCAGCGTCTTTGCACGTTTTGTGCTCCAGACACACGTCGTAACAACACTTTTCCCTCTCGTCGCACTCGTGATCGCTGTCGCAGTGTTTAGGCGGCTTATACCACTCGTAACTCCTGGGACAGTGGGCCCTCAAGGGCGGGCAATGCTTCTTCGGCTTCCACTTCGTCACGAGCTCGTGCCAAGGCTGCTCGACGACGTGCGGCTCCGCGGCGATGCCGAGCCAAAGCCAGGGAAAGAGGAACGAGTGCCAGCCGTGCTCCGACGAGTGCTCCGACGAGGAATCGCCTTTCCCGTTCGGGCAACAATAGTACCGATGATTGCCCATTTTGCACCAGTACTTGCAAGACTTCGTGTAGGCTTTCGTCAGAATGGCGAACAATAATAGGAGACACAACGAGTTTCCGCGCATGTTGAGGCGCTTCCAAAAGCAACGATGAAAAACGTTTCGCTTGATCGTCAGTTATTTTACTTGGCCTCGCTCTAAATAGTAAGTCCTGTTTAAAAAAAAAATTGATTATTTAAAATATGATAACCAATGAAACATGATAATAATAAATATAAACAATAATATATTTTCCATAAGAATTTTTTATCTCATGGACATTCTTCATCTACTAACTAAATAATTAAGTATAATTTATACTCAATATTTTTTTTTTGTTCAGAAATATACGATAATGATTGTATGCGTAAAATTAGCTTTGAAAATTATGATAGTTATAGATCGAAGCTTCCCCCTGTTGCACAAGACGACTAATTTTGTATAATTTTGTGTAGCGTGAGAATCTTTAGAAATATCTTGAAATTTTTCTCAAGGTTTGCACTTACTTGCGGCACGACGGTCTACGATCCAACCGACGACAGTTCCTCGTTTAGCGTGTCTTATACACGAGAGAGAAACACGCCCCTACCCGGCGAGGAGGGTTGTAAATCGTGCGACACCTCCCAATAGACGTCCATCATCGGACAACGAGCGAGACACGTTTGCTCGTGCTCGATTTCACATGTCAGCTTTGTAAGGTCTCGTCTCCGACGGCTACTCGGAAAAACGTCGGGAAATGTCAGAAACGAAGGACACGTCATGTTCGCGTTAGAACGTCGCGTTAGAATCACCAGGGCCGAATCTACGAAGCAAGCGAGCGATTTTAAATCTTAACGTCGCGAGCGACTGATTGGGTGACTCCTTAAAACCTTACTGGCATTTAATTATCCCTTATTAATTCCCCATATCCTTCTCCGATTAGAAATCGATAGAAGTAGGATAGAACGCAATAGTTTGGTCTTCTCAAATTTTTGTTTATTTTATGAACGAAATTTTAAGTATTTTACGGTGGTTAAGAGCGAAGACATGAGTCCTCTCCGTGTTGCTAACACGTTAACTGCTATGGTGGTCATTGATGACTGATGACCGGCGCTATTAAATTTTTTAAGACACTTATGAAAAATATATATCATCAAATACAGAATTTTAAATAACACAGGCAGATAACAATAATATAATGTAAAAAGTGCGTTATTTAATATAAATATTCATGAGAATATACAGTTTTATTTATTCAAATATATTTACTTAATATTTTATCATTATTATATTATTATAATCACGATAATGAAAATTCTGCTGTAGTTCCCAGCGTAAGTCGTACAAAATTTGTGTGGCAGTCGACGTTAAGCGTTAATCAGCAAAACGCGTATAAATGCGACCCTGAAAACGAGGCGAGGTTGCGCGAGCGCGGAAATTTTTCGTCCGCGATATTTCGCGGAGGAGCCGCTTGCGGGACGTCGACATAATCGCCGGCCCCGATTTACTTCGTCGGGCGTGCTAAAAAATCGCCTTGTTTTCCTCAACGCTCGCACGTTTCGAAGTGGCACGAGATAAAAACGTGAGAAACGGAACGGTAGTAAGTACGCCCCGTTCGCGGGATTCGGAGCTCGAAGCCGGCGAGATTTACATCAGTGATTTGATTCCCCAACGCTGCGAATACGCGAGAAAGGATCTTTTTGGCTGCGGTCCACTTGACGCTACAAATGCTTCGAAGCATTCCTCTTCTCTTTTCCTTCAATGAAGAAAGAAGAAGGAAGAACGTTCAAAAGAATTTGTAGCGTCAAGTGGACCGCAGCCTTTGTCGAGGAGCATCGCGCTTTATTCGAAATTACAATAAGCGTACGATATAAGTATGACGTCGTGCCGATGGTATCCAAATACGAGCTCAGCGAAATTAGACACCGATATTAATTTTCGATAAAATACCCGGTGATGTACTACAATGTAATTAAACGATATTTTAGTCATTTATTTTCCCTAGTAATATCGGCATTGTGGTATGCATGGCGGCATCTGGACTTTTGTTTCTTTTCGAAGAGTTCGAAATAAAAAAAAAGTCATGCGACGCACGGTGCAACTGACCGAATTGAAGTTGCAGCGGATCAGAGACGCGGACGTTACGATCCGCGAACTCCCGGCCAATCAGCGACGCGTATTTCGAACTTTTCGAGCTAGTTAACAAACGGTCGCCGAGTCGGCGGTACGCGGACGGCTCGGTCGCTTAAACAATTTACTGAAAATCGACCTCGATCGTCGGATTCGCGCGCGAAAAAGTGGTGGATCGCGGGTGCTCGCCTCACGCGCGTCTAGCAATGCATCGTAGTGGCGACGAACGAGGCCCGGAGGGCGAAGCGAGGACGAGACGAGGTGGAGGACGACGAGGCGCCTGGAAGGAGGGTAGCCGCGAGATCTGGAGTTCGGCGAACGGGGAAATGCTACTACCCGGGGATACGCATAGGTAAGTGGTCCGACAGTAATGTTATTCTCGAATTTATTCCTTCGAAAGTCGCAAATATATATACATCCCCCGATGCAGCGAGATTAGGCGAAATCTAATTCGCCGTGATCTAATAAGTACAGACATGTCCGGAAACTTTCAGTACGTGAAGTATAATTATATATTAGAGTCAAAATATTCCGTTTAGCTGGGTGAAAATAATTTCTGTGAGAGCACTTTGAGTCTCTTTTACTGTCATTTATTTAATTATTTTGCTTATCTACTAATTATTATTTATATACAACACAATTTTAATTTTGTTATTAGAAATTAAAAATTCTGTTTAATTAAATATCTCACTGATCTCTCTATAACGATCCATATGACGGTAGATCAAACGCGACGGAGTTTATATATCTCGCGTATGAAGTTGAGGTTTTGGATTTGATTATATAATTTATCATAATTAATTGTGGTATGATTGCGCAATATATATTGAGAGGAAATAATACTTACATTGTGCAACAATGACATGATAAATTACTGTAGCATCACTGCGTATGCGTAATATACATATATTATGGTATATACATACAAAGAATCTGGTATCTGGAAGATACCTTCCATCTAGAGAGAAATTAATACTTGTAACGTTTGTTCTAAAAACGTTTTTGTGTTTAGAACCCTTTTGAGGCTTTCAACATCTTGTCCTACTTCTAATATTTTCAAGATGTACAATGTTACGTTACGGAAAACATTCTAATACATAACTATAATCGCAAAAGATTAATGTGGAAAGACTTTCGCTGTATCTTCTTGTCCATTGAAGATTTTTTTTCATCTTTCAAGCGCTTGAAGGAAGTTTAAAACTATTAGCCATATACTCTATCCCCTATAAATTTTCATTTATAAAAGACAGAAACTAATTCTGCACATTGAATTTCTACAAATTTATTACATACGTGTAATAAATTACATAAAAATTTCGCTACTCTATGAATCGTATGCTACAGTACGCTCGTTGCGGTACCTACATGCTTCGCAGAAATTTACATCGCGTTTTAATTACACCATTAATTTCACTTGTTATATTACAAGCTACGTATATTTTTTTATACACAGATAACAGAGATAGGAAAGTAGAATTGTGCTCTCTCATCGAAATAGCACTTTTACTTTACTTTAATTAATAAAAATCGTTCTAGATAAATTTGTGCAGCCTTGCTCGTAATAACGCATATATCTTATGTAACATCTGAGCGTTTGTGTAATGTTGTGTGTAATAAAGAAGAAAAAAAAATGCTCAGCGCAAAGAGAAACGTATACTACAGATATTAATATACTGTATGAACACTCGCCATTAAATTGTCCTAGATCAATGTGAGTGCTTCTTTTGGTTCGCGTCGTTCTGTTGTCGGCTTATTATCATATCACAATATCATAGATAAAATATTAGGTTTCTGTTTTACGTCTTAAATTGGCCGTCATTTGTGGATTATAATTGTAAAACCCTGAGTAGTCACTAAATTAAACAAGTATAATACAACTAGCTTCTCCGTCTCATATTCATCATCTCAAGATTAAAAGATCCATAAATCAATATCAAATATTTTCAGAATTAACATTAAACTGATAAGTATCTTCTCTCTCTTTTATGTGCAGAAAGTAAATTTCGCAATAATTTAATACTGTTACTTATTATAATATATGTATAGTCTGGCAATAGGATACGATAAACTAATCGGAATTATCTGTGGTCTTTTTCTATCCTTAACTAAATAATAAGTTTTTAGTAGCTAAATATCATTTTACTATTTACACTTGCTAATTAGTGTCTGTACAAATAATATCAGGTTTAAATATATATTAGCCTGTTTGTGTATAGGAATGGAACCAACACCATTTGCAACAATTTTCCGTACGGTATTCATAAAAAAATATGTCTTTGAATTGCGCTCACATTGTAATAGACTACAAGTTACAATTAATTCATATTGAGGTCAATATATAATCATCATACAATTGCATATAGATTACGTTTGGAACTGGCGAGAATTGATAAAAATTGATGCCAAGAAACGTACTTACGGCAAATGATTTCTCTTAATTCTGACCAATTCCCCATGACTCACTGTTAATACTTGGGCGATTTAATCTACTTTTATGTTTTCAATTGGAGTCATTAGATTATACCAATTTTATGGGATAAAAAATTGCCAAGAAATATATCTTTACATTTTTTTTTAGTGAATATCAAGTTAAAATGTAATCCTCAAAAGATCAATATCTGTCTCACTAATGATATCAAGTAATATCATTCGCAATATTTTGTATTCATAAAAAACATGTTATAAATTATCTTGAATTATGAATAATTGATGTGTACATGAATATAAATATCAACTCCAATTGAAATTTTATAGAGAGGCTCGATCGCATTTAACTATAGCATGCGGAAAATATTTCATCTCGTGGAAAAATAAATACATTCTGTCTCTAAGCCGTCCGTCGCTTTACCTTCCAATACATTCGACCCCGTAGTTGTCATGTATGACCAATACTTCGTACTCGAGGTAGGGCATTTCCTGGCCGTTCAGCGGTATATAACACACTTGGTGATTCGGTTGTATCTTGCCGATGTGATAGATACCCTCGTGCAATACCCTGCCGACGAACAGAGCGTAACCATCCTCGGTTTCGCCGGCAGGTAAAGCGTGTAGAGGCACGCTACCCTCCCAGGATTTCACCCAGTTCACGTCCTTGCCGCACAGCACCTGGAATTCTCGCTTCTCGTGGGCATTGCCGCCCCAGGCGAGCGTGCAGACGTTGTCGCGAATGCCGCCCGGTGTCACTGTGCCCTGATGATGCGCTCGGCCGATGTACAAACCGTCCTCGGAGGCCATTACCGCGTTCCGAGGCAGTCCAAACGCCTCGTTAAAGTCCACCCAGAAGTGGCACGTGTCCATCAGTTGCTGCCTGATGGCGGGTGACGTGAACTGACATTCTGGTGGCACAAGTGTTAAAAAGAATTTATATTTTCTCGTGAACAATTTAGATTGATCCATATAGGACGTTAATGCACATTTATGACGTTTGATTATACTGCAATTTAGGAATGTTCAATATTGGGAAAAAAATAGTAAAACAAATTTTACAACAATGTATCATAATGAGTTAACGTACCTTCAATTATCCATTCCCCGGTTGCACCCCAAGCAGTACTAACTCCTATATAATTTATGACAAATGGGCTTCTGTCTTTATACGACATGAACGGCATATCAAAATCATCTTCGCGGCTAACACTTAATAGTCCATCGCAAGACCATCTGTAGAATAGAAGTCGATTAAAATGGGAAATGTAGTTTTATGTAATTCATATTCAGATAAAATGTATAATTTTCTCTTACTGTATGAAAATATCACATATCTCATCAGGGTTCAGTATGTCCCTGGTGTCTGCTTCTGCCACATCTGGTTCGGTATTATTTCTTTTTATCGCCGACATAGTGTTTCCCCATCCACCAATAATAATCTGACATAGTACAAAATTATATAAGAAAAAATACTTTTATTCTTTAAGAATTGTTATTAAAAATATACGACATAAACGTAGCAAAATTAATTGTTGCATAAAACAAGATAGCATTACCTCATATACATTGGAGTCACCCCCGAGGTGTGTCCGTAAGGCAATCCTTGCATCGTGGCTAGCTTTAATGCCTAAACTAACGCTGTTTTTTGTGATGGGTATGTAACGGTAATCGAGACTGTCCGCAGTGGTAATTCTGACTGAAAAAGAATCATCGGACAGTATAATAGTGAGGCTAATTATTTTTCTGTTAAAAAAGCCTAAGCTTTAAATAATTATGAGATATATAATTTATAACGAAACTCACTTGGACTCATTTTTTGAAGAGCCTAGAATTCTTTGAATGTATACAGGAATCAATAGCAAAATGACTCATATTAGTCATACACGGCTCGCATTTCCATGGCGCCTTGTCGTCCACACATCTGACGAATCGTTATGTCTCATTATCTCGATCGATTTATCACTTAAAACAAATAAATAATCCATGTTTAAAGTTCCGCGTACAAATGTATAAATGTTTGCTATCGATGATCAATATACTACGTCGCGAATGTAGCGCAACATTTGTGATTGTCTCTATCCCCCATCTCGAAAGACGCTTAATTCCGTAAAAACAATCATCGTATTCAAAAGGAATGTAAGTCGTGTGATAAAAGACACGATGGCATTGAGAAACGATCGTGAACTTGTGTATTTTGGACAGCTCCGAGTGGTCGGGTCAGGTCTCAGGTCGATGCGACGTGCCGAGCAACATTATTCTGCGGGTGACGCAACATCGAAATTCGAGCACGTGCACGCGGCGACCGTCGAGACGTCAATTGGCCCGATTGTTCGCGCTCGAGCTCGACCTGTCTCGTTACTCCTTACCGAGGAGAAAAAACTCATACGTCCGTGAACTCACTGATAATAGGCATGACAGCTCCGGCTGGTATCGTCGCCGCTTATCGGGAACGTTTGCGACGCGATACGGGGAATGCACGAGAGAGCGAGCGACCCTGTCCAATCGAGAAGACGCGATCGGACGACCGTCACGCGGGTGATCGCGTCGCGAATCGCGAATTTCGCGATCCTCACGTCAGTCACATCACATCTCCCACACGAGTGGACGGGACGTCCCCACACAGTACAGTCCCACTGTTGTTGGGTTGGGAATGTTGGGAGTTGGGATGCCGAGTGCCGACAACATCGCGATTCTGTCGACGTATCGATACTTTCCTCTCGATGTTCCCAGCGATAAATTAGCGCGCCGGTAGTTTTCGCCCGTTGCCGCAAAAATACCGATTACTTCTGTCCTCTGTCAACAATGAGCTGTAAGCGCTCGAAGATACGTTAATTTAATAACAGCTTATAATATCAGATTACCGATGGTGTCGACGGTGCATCCCCGTTTGAAATAAAAGGTCTTTGGGTTTGCGATATATATCGCGCGCCAAAAGTCAAAGTTCGGGATATATTGTTCGAGATATGCAAAGTGTTGGCTTTTAAACACCGTACAATATATTCGCCTGAAGATACGATCGTATCAGCTACTTTTTCTCGAAGGTCAAGATTTTACTTGCATTGGCTTAAAGAGAGTTTCGTGCTTGGAATTAATTGTGTTCGACTTTCCATTCCGATTTTACTTTCTGTACTCTATGACGTGCGCAGGTACACGGTGTTACTAAAAGCTTATAAATTATTCAATTCTTAATCATCAAGAAACGCAACTTAAGCACATATCTATATCTAATAACCGTAAGAATAACGCGTAATGATAATTACATCAATTAAAGCAACTTCTTACCTTGTAACAATTTAATTTAAAGCTTATTTAATTACATCTGTAATTACATTTCTGCGTTCAATTTTTATATAAGAAGGATATAACATTTTATTTTTTAATTTATATGCGTCACGTATTTTTATAATTCTGACCTGAATTATAAATCATATAAAGTGAGCTTAATTTTAATTAGCGTATATTTAAATGTATTTAAATGATGAATTTAAATCAAATTGGAAAATATTCAATTTTATTCATTAATATTAATATCGTGTGCATATTTTTCTCCTTCTTTGTCTTAAAAATTAATTAGTTTAATATATCGAATATGCGATACTCGTGCACACATATACAGAATTGTTTCCAACGATTCGAAAAGATACACATTATTTTTATATCAAACGTTATATCCGCATGCTAACGTTGAATATAGCACGCATGTAAAACAATAGAGACATTGACATTTACATTCAACCTGCCTGGGTCATTGCCGTCCAAGTATACCTATTGAAATACATCTGGTTAACTTAGGATCAGTGCGCTTGAATGAATACATGCGAACGCACGTGCGTGCGCGGAAAGTAGAAAGCATTAAAAAGGACAACGAGCAAAACTATAAACGCTGGACATTGGACAGGTGTACTTAGACATATACGTACTATTTCGACTTCCGTGAACAAGTGGCAAGGGATTGTAATTTTTTCTGCTTCGTCTACGAACTTTCGAGCTGGCTGCACGAACTTGAAACGCCGCAGATACATCCGGCAATTGTACAGACACACGCGAATTGTTCCAATCGAGATTCATTTCCTCTATGCACTCTTTTATTTTGCAATCTATCGATTAACTCTTTATCAGGAATGATATATTGATTAATAAATTTTACTTTATTCAATTTGTTTGAGATTGCAGACTATCCCTTTTACAGAATAATAATAAAAAAGACTTGCGATAGCCGCAATAACACATAAATGTTAAATACAAAGTATTATTGATATGGTTAATTTACTGTGAATAATAAAAAGAAAATTAAACGTTTGTGAGTGAAAATGCAACGCTTTCTACAGTAAAAGTTTCAAACCGTGAGAAATAAAGTTCCCGCATTAAATTTGCTATATTTAAGGGAACGGAGAAAAACTTTCTTTTCCAGATAGCAGCATTATTATTCAAGCAAGACACTCGGTTTACGTATGTATGTAAAATACATCTTAAATATCCTCCGGCCGGAATTTCAATTAGTTAAACTCAAAGATTTCCGTAGACGTATATCCAGATATTCATTAATTGATAATTAAATCGAATCGATTACATGATAAACGATTAAATGAATAATTTGTTATCATGAAACTCATACATGAAACTTTTATATTTCATTAAATTAAGCAATTATAACTATACCTCGCTGTATAATTGAAATCGAAGTTATTTCCAACAATAGATAATATCTCGATACTATCTTTAAGAAGTGTTGGAAATTTTATTGATATTTTGTTGGTACTAAATAAAATAAAATTATATACATATAGTATATACACACACACATACTATTTAAAAAAATAATTAAAATAAAAAGAATCGTATGAGAATGATTTTTATCGTACTATTTTATATTTTTTACAGTCTATGATTAATTACACTAATATCTTCTGTGCTCTATTGAAGAAATAGTAAATAGTATACTTATTAATAGTACAAATCATACGTAATTCATGCGTGCATCTGATCACTGATGTACCCGGGAACTTGTGACTAAGGATATCCTTTCTCATATAGGCCGTTATGAGAACTACTTATTCGTTACTATGTCGTGCAATCACAGTGATGTAAAGAGTATACTATGATACAGCTGATTATCGTAGTAGAGTAAAGGCGGGGACAATTCTTCCTAGATTTATTCCGTGGAACCTTCGTGCATTATAGGCATGTAGGTAGGTCGCAATACTGCACCTCATACTTCACTATGCGGTTGCACAGAGAGGTGACCCATTGCTTTCCCTGTAAAAGCGAAGAGCTAAATCAGGTTGACTCGTTTCTCTCCGCTCTGTATGGTCGGGTCCCGACCAATGTCACATCAGTATGTGCGCACCGAGATCGCTTTTACCTTTTCGTGAGGCGAGGGAGTGGGCTGCTGGGGGTATAAAACAGAAAACAGCGCTTTTGCCCGCCAATATGTGTGTAGTTCCATTTTAGTAGACACCAGAAAGGTGTCTAGTTTTTACTCGATTGACACTGAGCTATTGTTGATTTTGTTGAGACGTGGCGAGAATCAGTATGTTGCTAGTAAGTAGATACCAAAACTCAAGTGACGTAGAGGATATCTGCAGAGTATTTCGAAAAGCAAAGTAATTTAGCACGTTTATTATACATCTGCGTGTAATGCTACGTGTATGTATTATTTGTCGGCATTTAAGAATGAAATTGGAGAAATAAAAAAATATTGTATTTTCTCTTTAACAGTCAGAAGATATCTTGAATAAAGCTTTGTTTTGTTGCCTCAATTTTCGAGTCGTGTATATTACTTTGCTTCTGAAATAAATTTTTGTTGGAATAACTCGCGCGTGATTATACAGGCAGTATTTTCTCAATTTTATATTAGGTCGATTAGTTTTTCACGAAATAATTTATCTTTTTAGAGCGCAGTGATAATTTGTTGTATGATAGTTGCGAATGCGGAGCCGCCTCTAAACAGTACGTATTGATGAAGTTGCATCTAGGTTTTGCTTTCTATATATTTTTAAAAAATCTTATTCATGCAAGATTAATGTCCATTTCTACCTATGCAGATTAACTTTAATCTCGATTTAACTTACTCTTTATCCTTTTTTAAGTTTTAAGAATTAGAAAAAGATAAAAAGTAAGTAAGCGGAGATTAAAGTTAATCCGTATTGATAGAGAAATGGACATAAATGTAATACTTTTTGAGAATTTAGAATATTAGCAATATATTGAAATCTTCAATTAGAAATAAATTGTATCACACATTTCAATAGAAACCCGATTTCGTTGTAGGCTATTCTTTTACTGCAGGCGATAGCAATGGGTATGATTATAGTAACACCGTTACTAGTAATGGATACTTGGGATCGAAGGATGGCTATCAAAACGGTGGAAGCTTTTACGGTGCTGGAGACACCAATCATAAATTATCCAACCATGTCAGCAGTCACTCGTTAATTAACGCCGGTAGTCAGGATAATATAGGAGGAGGTAACGCAGGAAACAGTTACAACGGGTATTCCGCTAACGATCACGGAAATGAATATGCAGGATATTCCAATACCTATGAGAATTCCGCTAGTGAATCTTACAATACACCCACTCGCGCAACGTCTACGCCGCTCAGAGGATATATTGGCGGTAATAATAACGGGGAGTCGGCCTTTAGCGCGTACACAAGCGATTTGGTTCACAAAGACTCCGATTTCGGTCAGTACGCGGCTAGCAGCACCAGCAGCAGTAAAAGAATACCCGCTTATTCCGGATACAGGCCAACCCGGATATCAGATAATTATCCCGAAGGCTCTACCGATAGCGGCGTACAGGGATATCTCGGTTCCTCCGGCTCCTCAAGTTATTCCGAAAGTGCTGATCAGATCTACGCGCCTTATTCGTCAGGCGGTCTGACTAGCGAATACTCGTTTGGAAAGCTGAAAAACGACCCGTTGAACTTGAAAGGAGGCAACAAGTACAGCGGCATCTTTTCCATTCCGTCCGAGACGCGTTACACGCGAGGAAGCGCCGGGCACGTGAGCTATAATCGCGACATACCGTCGTTCATGTCAACAGGTTCCGGACAGTCATTTCTGGGTAGTAATTTCCCCAAGACGCACAGTATCTATTCGTCGGGTAAACCCAGTAAATACGGCTACAAATACTTGTCTCGCTACGCTCCGAATAGCGGTGTAACTTACCTGCCAAGGGAACGCGATGGTTATTATATGCCTGTCGGCAAGGGTAGTGGGAAAGTCATCATAATTAAAGATAGCAGTCCGAGTTATACCGGTCGTGTTTACTCCGACGACCCGCTTTACGCTGCCAGCAGCAGCGTAAGCGGCTACAGAAGTAAGAGTGGTTTTGCGAATGGTTTCTCCGCTTCGCCGAATTTTGAAGGATACATTGGCAGTAGTACTTACGATGACAATCCCGCTGTAGTTAGACGATACAGGACCAGTGGTCCTATGTTTTTGCAAAAGTCTATTTATCCTTAATTAACTTATTCTTTCGATTTAAGATCGTATTTAAATAGTATAGCACGTCGATATGTGTGTTTGAGATTTGTATATATATTTATTTTATAAGTATTTTATAATAGGGATTTCTCCAATATGTTATTCAGAATAAAAATGTTGTTCAATTTTTCGTAAATGTTTAAATAATTATTTATATTATTACCTTTCTAATCTCTCAATCATATATATTTTCAAAAATTTGTAACTATTATGCCATACATTAATAAGGTATTCTTGATACGTTTTTTTTTGCCAAGAATCCTTCTTCTTCTCAGAGAAACTTTGCGTTTTCTTTTTTCATAGAACCAAGAGATTATTGATTAAATAAAAATAAAGTTTTTATAAATTAAACTTTTTAGTAAATAATAATACTTATTTAATATTAATCGGTAAGTTATACAGAGCAAATAAACACGTTTAAGATCTGTTTGTATTTATTTTTTAAATACTATCTAAAAATTACATTTGTATGTTATCTATGATAAGTATACACTGTAGGCATTGATATTGTATAATAAAAATATTTTAGTTATTATACATACACACACACATCTAATTCTATAAATTTGATATAATAAAATTATATGATATTTTAATGTTCAACATTTTTTTGACGTAATATTCACGGAGGTGTCCTTGATAATTTAGGCTTAGCTAAAAATGCCTCTTCTTCTTTAGCAAGTTCAGGATCATTTTTCCATGAAGTATCATTAATTATATTGCTGTTACAGTTATTACTATTCCTATAAACAATTCTGTCACTAAATAGATTTGTAATAACCAGGAAATAAGCAGAAGCATTATTAACAAACAATAAATATAAAGTTTATTCAATATCATCATTTGGTATAAAAATACGTAAGTTTCTATAATAAAAAAAGACAATATTGTATGTACAAATAATACAAGGCATACAAATAATACAAAGCACATGCTTCAAAAAATAAATATTCAAAAGCTGTGAAAAATGAACCACAACTGCAACGATTGCATAAAGTATTACTCACAGCGATGCTATGCTACTGAACTTCTCCATTTCTGTAAAAATAAGATTTTGAAATTTTACTGAATTTATATAGTAAGATATTAATTATTTTATTTCTCTTTGATTATTTTCATGTTTTTTAATGCCACATAAATAATGGGAAAAATGTAGATCAATTAATTCGTATTAAATGATATATTCTAAACAATCTAAACTATCATTTCGAGCGACGCAAAGTGTTTTTTAAATAGTTCCAACAATTTTGAAATGTGTCATCTAACTGGTTAATATTTATCTGAGTTTCCATCACTTTCGTTACGTGCTCCAATTTTCTCAAGGTTCTGCGTATGTAGGGAAAGTTGTAAAGCTTTCACTGAATACTACTGCTTGTGAATTATTCTCTTAATGTGCCAAGTTCATCATTTTTAAGTCAGTTCAAAACGAGTGGCAGTATACTGGATATGCTATTATTCAAATAGCAGCTAAGAATGTGAAGTACGTACCTGCTTGGCTATTCTCGTGACCGGATACAAGAATCGTAGAAGATGTCACTGCGGTTTCACTGCTATTCCTGTAAATCGATATATCTATTAATAACGAAATAACGAAAAATAAGAAGTTAATTACAAGATTAATTACGAAGTAAATTAAATTAACAACTGTGTTATAATATTTTTTATCAAAATTATTTTGCATCAAAAATCATTCTAATTAATTAATAACACACTTGGAAGTCTGATTTTCATATAAATAAATTGCATCGTTAGGTATTCTATCAGAGAAATTTCGCTTAGGAGATTTTATCGTTTCTGAGGGCAATTTTTCTAATCCCGTTTTTCTGAATTTTCCGTCATGTAATTTTCCTACATTGATCCTATTCTCCGATCTGCGTAGTTTTAATTGATCTCGTTTATTATTATTTATTCCAAACCTTAAATTAATTTCTTTCTTAAGTTGATTATGGTGATTATCTAATCAAATTCGTATCGATTATGGTTGCTCTTTCTGATCGCGCTTGATAGGCATTTTGATATTATACCTACTATAGAATATATCAATTTATAAATATAAGTTGAGACCAATTTATCCATTTTCTGTACAGAAAGAGTAACTATAATTTTAGGACATATATTCTGTATATATAAATACCTTAACGCAGGATATGGATGTTTATTACAGACATGATTATTGCGTTGATTGTCGTAAAAGTCGATAGGATTGAGCGTAGATATTTGCTGTAGAGTCGTATCCGTGTTTACAGTCTCTTGAGGAATTTTCGTAGAAACACTGTAACACATTGCAAGCAACGTTTCTCCGTTCAATTCGCCGATATAATTTTGCAGTGGATCGTTTTCATCTAATTCACTTTCCAACACATCCAAGTCTTCCTACGGAAATGTTTAATGTCTAAATTCATTCGAAATTTATATGATATTTTTGTACTCGCATCGTATATACTCGCTTACGTTATCATCATCCCCGGTTTCGTCATTCTGCGGTGTGTTAACATTTTCATATCTCTGTACCCTCAATACATAATCTAGGTGTTTTCTGTCATACCGAAATTATTATCATTTCAAAAATAGAAGTTTTATCTTTTAATCGTATTTATGAATATAAAATTCTAAATATTAAAGCAGAGATTTGCAATTTCGATAAAAAGAAAGAATTACAAATGTGTCAAATATATTTAAATGCGAAAATTATGTTGCCCTGGTATTAGAACCCTCATATTTTATATAAACATGTATTATGCATGTACATGTACCTTATTTCCGCAGTTTTCTGTTTACTACCAAGATATTCCGATATATTCGAATGCTTAATTCTTTTCGCTTCCTCATTAATTATAGGATTGGTTAAAAAATTGTTTAGTGCTCCATTGATGTACGGTAGTGACTAATAAACGACACGAAAATTTTAAAGATATATATTAAATTTTGTAGACAAAATTTTTTCTCCTCTACAAATATATTTTCATTAAATACGCGTGTAAATTTTACTCACGGATGTATGATCTATCGAGAGAAGGACGAGCAAAGTAGACACGAGTAACGAAGATATTTTAGACGCTCTGGCTTGTGCTAATCGATGTAACGACAGGTTCATTAAAAGTGCGGTAGCGTATTCGAGCCTGTATAAACTTATGATGCGACATTTATCGTGTAGGTGATTGATCAACCATTCCAGCAGTCCGCTCTCTATCATGTTTATCCGTTGCTGTCTACGTAAAGACAGTTTTTGTAACATCGCCACCATCATGTCACACGCGAAAGGATCCACTCCGTCAGCGTAATTATTGTCGAGACAAGTAAAGGTCTGAAATACCGAGAATCGTAATTCTTTATTATCGCCATCCATCAATTTATGATCTCTAGCAACTTCCAATAAACATTGTCAAAACTTGTCTGATTCTAATATTTTAAATAATCGCAAGAACGGATGTAACCGTTAGTTTACGTAGAAACATACCACATTTACGACAGTAGATCTGACCGACAGATAATCTCTTCCGCATCTGAAGGATGCCAGGGTGTTCAGCAATCGTGCGGTGAATTGTTGCAAAAGATGTCTGGCATACGCTTCTCCCGCGGTCAGCAGACACGGTAGGATCGATTTGCCATTGTCGCTGGCAATTTGTCCGTGAAGCCCCAACAAATCGCGAGTTATGTATTCGTGTAGGACTTCGTCCTGTTCTGCCGACTGCACGAGCGTTATTTTCTAAAAAAATATAAATGAGATTTTTGCAAAAGATGACTGGATACCGTCGCCACTGTAAAGCTATTGATGATCTCAGTATACCCAACGCAATGCTTGTAACAGCAATAACTTTGTCTTCACGTCCCCGTTAATTAGATGTAACTTGATCTTTTTATAATCCAATAATTTGGGAGGTACCGGCGCTACTGAGACATCAAGTTTAGGCAGCGCAATTGTTTTTATGTCAATACGGTCGAGTTGTAACAAGGACGGCTATCAAAAAATAGCTATACATTAAAAAGGAAAAGTTTATAGAAGAATACGCCATGATCTTTCTTTCTTTCTCCGTTTTACTTACATACGAATAAGTCTCTCTTATGTTTTGATCAAACAAATCTGGAAATATTTTCATGCAGATCTCGAGTGTTCGTTGCACATCAACTTCTTGCCCTTTCACTGAATTCTCCAACGCCACCGTTAATTCCCCGGCAACGTCTATCAGTTTATGATAGTCCGCGTGTAATTTGTGAAATCTCACTTTTAATTTCTCATAATTTGTATGAATACTGTATAAATGAGACTTGGTTAACGCTAATTCACGATTATATTGAATCAATCTTTTATCTGACTTGTGCATGATCTTCGACACACTGTTAACGCTTTCTCCCGGATACAATACATCTTCTCGTGAATTATTGACAGCAATTTGATTTCCAGTAATATGCGTTTGTGTGCTTCTGTAAATGATAATGTACGAATAAGACATTTTCCAATCTCTTTACTGACATATCGAAGGAAAGGTATTTTACTTCGATTTTAAATTTGTTTTGTTGAAAAAACTATACTGCTCCTCATCGTCATGATCTTCTAGAAATATAGGTATATCCCTGTCGTTTGGCACAATTGGCACATTATTCTTTCTAATCTTATTTTGCGTAACATCCGACTCCACGGTTATTGTTTTTGTTGCTGGCATGGTTGTATGAACCTGTACTAGATTCTGCGATTGTGCTTTATTAGAGTTTATATTGTCTAAATCGATTAATTCCTACAAATTTCGTATTATATATATTTATGATTTTTACGTAATATTTTTTAATTATATATATTATCGTACATATTATTATCGTATATAAATATAATATAGAGTTCAACTATTGATCATGAGTTTGCTTACTCGTCTGTGACGTGTGATAAACGAATCTAGATTTTTTGATAACTCGTCTAACCAATCTTGTTCTAACACTTTGGAGAAAAAAGTATCTGCATAAAGATCTTCAATAAACGGTAGTGCATAAAACGTTTGTAATTCTGTATCATGTTCTAATTCCTTGCCATCCCCATTCAAATAATCTTGCAATTGTTTCATACTATTTTTTTCGATTTCAGTGGCATTGTTCTGTTTGTCATTAATAATACCTTTAGACTAATTATTTTTTAAGTATTGAATGTAACGTATAAATTATCACATTAAATTTAAGCATTTTATATTAAATATAATAATAAGAAAATATTCAAGAACACAGAAAATAATTTTTGTTTAGATAATTTATTTAAAAAATTTCAAATTACCTCCTTGCACTTTTCCGAAATAAGATCTTTTTCTGTTGAAGACAATCTCAGTGTACTTATTTCTGATGTAAGATCCATAGCAAAAATTAAAAATTGTTATTTAAACATATAAAAAATTATACATATATGTATAATATAGTATTATCTTTTTTTTACCATATTCTTTATATCGATCGGCGTGTGATTTACGTTTAGGTAGTACAGCAAAATATACGTGTAAATAAAATGTTAGCTTTTTGTATTCTTCGCATTGCTTAATATTATCAGAGAACACGTCATTCCACAACTAAAAGAAAATATACATATAGTGCAATATGATCAGAGATATTCAATTGGAATATAAATTAAACTTTTAATAACTAATATGTAAATAATTCTTTACTTGGAAAAATGTTGAATAATCTCCAGTATCGTGGCACAACATTAGTTGAACATAGGGATCTGTTACTTCTCCTAATTTATGTCCCAAATTTTGAAAGCCCATTTTTGAAGCTTCTTGAACTAAAGCTTCAGCAGTGCTTTCAAAATCATGATCCAAAAGAAACTGCGAATCATTTTTTCAATTGAAATTTAAAAAACATAGATCAGTCTAAATATAATATTAAAGCTGTTGCAGTTAAATATTATTAATTATACCTGATGTATTATTTTGATGTTTTTATCAGCCATTTGATTCTTCATGGATACAACTCAGTATGTATCTTGCTCTGCCTAGAAGTATCGTCATTAAGAAAAGGACTGTAAAATTTATAAATAAATTTTGTATATTTCGCAAACCAACACTTAAACAATCTATTTATCAAACTCCTGTCTATGTATCCTGGTATCCAAACTATGTATCAAAACGGTGATACGTAAATCATCATTTAATTATTAATATCTTTGTTTTGCTTACTCCACTGACATTCGGTTATTATTCACTTTATTCCGACACACGTAACTCGACAGGTATTCTTCTCTGACAAACTCATGTCGCAGAGAATGTGTCAGTTTAGGCTTCATTAATCGATTTTATGCAAATACACTATATATTGATCAGCATACGGCATTTCAGCAGCAGGGCAACGTGTATATTCCACGATTGTCGCAACGGGGCTCCAATTTTTTACAATTAAAAATTCGCGCTTGTTAGACGGGATACGTTTGTCACGAGCGATTTTTTTATCGCGACGTTTCGACGTCCGCGTAAACGGAGTTAGTAATTTGCCATTGCCATGTGATCCGCGGAAGAAAACAAACGTTTTGACGTTTACGGCTGCGTACTACACCGCGGAGGCTTCTGCTAGCTGTCAAGTTTCATCAATCATTCGCACGCACGCGCACGTGTGCACGCGGTCCTCGATTGCCACAGTTGTTTACATTATCGTTCATCGACACTTATCGATCCGCGCGATTTGGGATTTTTACACGGAGTACAACATACACGGCTCTTACAATTTAGGAAAATTATAAAAAATGACCGAGGAAGAGGGTTCTCCGTTGCACAACGCCGTCGTTTCAGAGGTTTCTCTCGTTACTTGATTCGTACATTTAACTCGGAGGTTATATTTCATTAGGAATCCGCTTGCAAATCACAGATCCCTGACACTGCGTGTTACATACCGAATTTTATTACCGAGGAGGAGGAGAGGCAGATTATAAAATGCGTAAACAGCGTACCGCAACCAAAATGGACGCAATTAAGCCACCGTAGATTGCAGAACTGGGGTGGCATACCGCATCCCAAAGGGATGATAGCGGAAGAGATCCCTGATGTAGGTAGACAGAGCGTGAAATGTCTTGGAATTGATTAAGAAATATAGAAAAGCCGAAAGCTCCTCTATATTTGTTACAACTTTATACGCATCATTTACATTTATTATTAAGTGAATGCATTAAATATTGACACTGATATTTTAGTGGCTTCAGAGATACATTGATAAAGTGGCAGCTTTGAATGCCTTTCAAAAAGGAATATTGCCTAATCACGTTTTAATTAACGAATATTTATCTGGGCAAGGAATAATGGTATGTTGTGAATGAAAGAGGCAGTGTAAAGTGAAAGTACATTGTATATGTACTGTATGTTTTTTCTTTGTTATAAAGTACAAATTACGTTTATCTATCTATATATCAGAATAGAGAAAATACAGAATATATACATAGATAGCGCACATACTGAACAGTAACGTAATAGTTGCTTTCCATTTACATCAAAACTCAGATAATTCTCATTTGTGATGTCATTCTGTCTTTATTATTCATTAATTCCCAAAAAGGATAGGATGACGTCACAAGTGAGAATTATCTGAGTTTTGATGTAAATGGAAAGCATCTAATATCTTCATCAGGCACACTCAGATGGCCCGCTTTTTTATCCTGTTGTAACCACTATCAGTTGTGGTTCCCATACATTCCTCGACTTTTACAAACGGTTGGAAATAACAGAGGTAGATACTGTAACATACAATAGTCAATAAAGAGGACTGTCAGGTAACGATACATATTTTAATACAATGTATATTATTCCTGCAGCAACAACAACCCAAGTTAGAATTCAGTTTGCTACTAGAACGCAGAAGTCTGCTAGTCCTACAGAAGGATTTGTATCACAATTATTTGCATTCTATAGCCGAAAGAGATGCAGATAGCATATCGGAATCTTCGATAAAAAATCTACACATGTGTGCTGAAAAGTTTACAGAGGAAGAGGTAATCAAACGTGATACTAGGCTGTCTTTAACTATTAGACATGTGCCGAAAACTAGCAAACTGAAATTAAAAATTTTTTGATACATATGTGCATTATCGAAATTTGGAAAACCTATAATAAATAATTGCGCAGAATGCCGTCGTGTAATGTCTTGTATCATTGTTGTCTAGCCTAATCAATGTGAGATGAACTTACTTCATAAATTGTTGCACAATATTTGAATTTGTACATCTGTGTTTTCAAAGCTCACATCCCTTCATCCATCATTTCTTCATTACCTTCGTCTAACATTCCTTGTAGAGAGTGTATGGAGGATATTAAAACGTGGAATTGTTTACGACGCATTTCTAATTTGTGCTCCAGCTGTTCTGACTTCTCCTGCGTGTGAAAAATGATTTTGAGATTAACCAATCTTTTTTATAACTACTATTTCAAACAGAAAAGGTTATACAGGTGGTGACATATCCTCAAACCTTTAAAGCACCCAGCTCTTGTTGCAATGTATCGAGCTTGATGTGCGTTTCCAATCGATCTGGTTGTTCATTAATGACTTTGGCCAGTACATCGTACTCTATCCTGTTTTTCCTCACGCGTTTGGCATCCTGCAGTTCCGCCTTAGTTTTCTCTATGTCTTCCTTGGCCTTCTCTATTTGTATCTCGATTTCCTTCGACAGCTGCTCGTAGCTCTTTAACTCTTCTCGACTCATGTTCGAGACTAGCCTGGATTTTTTCTGTGCAAATTCGCATTGTGCCAATTGTGACAGCATTCTTTCGTGTAGCGTGTTGTCCACGTCGGAACTGTTGATCCATTTTATGAATGATTTTAATAGCATATTAATCCTACGATCGTCTCCCGTCCCATCGCCGTCTATGAGCAGTCGCCGGCGTATTACTTCTTCTGCAAAATGAAAAATTTATATGTATGATATGTTACGCCTGCACAATATACAGTTTATTAAAAGAAAAATGTGCATAAAATCTTTTATTGCCCGAGGGCTAGTTATAATTTTTTATGGCAGTAAATATTGCAGTCGTAATATTATTTTTGAAATGTTATTTACCATCAACCATTGTTAGACGCGTGCACTTGTCAGCACTTGTAACCAAGAAACAATTGAACGTAATGTGTACATTTACACGATTGCATTAATGAAATACGCCATCTTGGCGTAGTGTTGTACGTATGTACGGCTGGGATGAGAACTTACAAGCCAAAATGCGAGTACGGATGGTAACGAGAAAAGAAATATATATTTTTGAAAAACAAATATCAACGCACAAAAAGAAAAAATACTTTTACATTTTTATATATCGATTGTTAGAATTGTAATCTAAAAAAGGTATTTACAAAAAGGACATGGAAAGGATAAGAAAAAGGGGATTGTCTTTTATCAAGATAAAATTACACAATTAATAATTAGATTTGAATGAAATTACGAAAACTTTGCGCAAATCTGCGCATAGTTTTTGAAAATTTAAAATTTATTTATTTTTTATGTAAATAATTGCTATTATTTACTCGCCTTTTCTTGTAAATAGTTAATGAATTAATATGGTTCATAAATTAAATAATGCATCTCCTAGGTATTGCAGATAAATGTAGTTCGGATTTTGCAAATAAATTTCTCTTTTGTTTGTATAATATTATATTTTGACCTTCTTTCACTCTCTCTCTCTCTATAACTACATGCGGGACGGCGATAAAACGCCTGCATAGTATACAATTTTTATTGTATTAAATACACTTTACATTTCGTAACATCACCATTATCATAAGAAATGGTATAACGCTCGAGAATATATAATATTTCGTCCTCATCAAAAAATATGTCTATCTCTGGTATCTAATACATTAAGATCATTGGTCCCACATGTGGGTCTTCAAATATATAATATTTGCAACATATATTATGACATCTACAACTTAAACATTACACCCTTCTGGCATTTTAACGTCTCTGTTGATACTTTTTAACTTAAAAAGGAAAAAAAAGAAAAAGATAATCTCCGGAAACAGAAGTCATCCTACACACTTCGTTCTTAAAGTCAGGTACATCTCAAATAAACCCGGTAGTGGTCACCTCTTTTTCTTTTGCGGAATTGTAATTTTTTTTATATTACAAAACGTCACTGTATTCGTTGCGATATTCTCGTAAGTCTTCAGCACATCAGAATTCATCATTCAGTTGTTATTACAATCGTAACAGAGAGTTATTATTAGATCAGAAATTAACATTGAGTGTAAAAAAGTATGTTTGTTCTTTTCAATACAATAATTGAAATTTGTTATCATTCAACTGTCATAAAAAAAGATATCTTGAAGGATGTCTTTTTCATGGATCATTAATAAATACACAAAAATAAGTAGTGTATACTGCATATTTTTGTATATTTTCTTTTTAGTGTAAAAAAATTATTTTGAAATATTGTCTAATGTTAATAATAATCTTTCAATAACGTCTGCAAAAAATATTCCATAATTTAAAGAATTCCATAATTTGATCCTTGGATTATGACAGTTAATTAAATTATTAAATTTTTAGGAACACAAATATTATTTCTCTCACAAATGTTACTTTTGCATAGACAATATACAAAATCCATCAATAAGATTGGGAATCTCGATAATTCGCGATGTTATCTAAGAGCTCCATATTTTTGAAGAATATGAATTTCTGAACGATGAAACTTTATTTATGAAAATGTAAATTTTAATTTTTTATATTTATATTTTTCTAACTCCTTTGATATAACTTTTGATTTTTTACTTATTTATAAGTAGGAATATATTTTGATTATAATCAGCGATCAATCTCGATCGTGAATATCCGAAAATTTATTACATATTTAGTTACGTTTGCGGTATCGAAGTACAACATATTAAAAATCATTGCACAAATTGATAACGAAATTACTACAATAGTCCTCACAAGAAGAAAAATAAATTATTATGTACTGTTTAGCAAAAGTGTTACGGTATTTAAATCTTCGATGATGTAGGAATTTTGTCGTTTGCTTTATTTTTTTTGTCGTTCGAGAAAAATTGTTCCTCGCACCCACATTTAAATTAATAGCTCGTGTGAAAGTTCCCGGAGGTTGCGTTACGATTGAGAAGGTTTTTTACGTCTTCCGAATAGATTACTCAATACGGAACTTCGTTTGTAATCGCGATCTTTCCGATTGCCGCCTGAGCTTTGCTCGCTTTCTGATCCACTCTCAGACGCTCTTCTATTATCCACCACTGCGATGTTTGGAGGACTCGTTTGCGGAGCTGCTGGCGGAGCGACATAAGGCGGCAATGACGTCGGTCTGCCAGTGAAAGTATTGTTTTGTTGTTGTACACCCTGTAAAAGAATACGAATTCATTATTCGGGCTTATAAACAAAAGACAGTGAGATTTATAGATTTGCAATTGCGCTAAGTAATCGTTATGATTGTCGCAACTGCCTTAATTGAAATACATATAACGTATCAATAAGTTTTAGTAACATTCTAAAATATACATCTTCGAGAATATAATAGTGGTTACAGTTCCGGTTCACAAAGTAAATTAAAAATGTTCTATCTCCTTTTAATTCTCAAAGAATTTAACATAAATTATTTTAATAGAAATTTGAGAATTAGGAACTTACCTGTCTGATATTTGGTATGGATACATTCCCGTATGCTGTAACAGACGAAAAATACAATTAAGAAATTTTCATTCCGTTAAATTGAGATCACAAATTGCAACATTCAATTATAAAATCCAGCTAGAACTAAAACAATTGTTATCGTCTAACAAATAGCTATTTACAATTGTTATTATCGATGAATAAATTATAAATTGTAGAGTTAGAAAATCGAAGTGCAGACGTATCAGCAAAATGGAATATTAAATTAAAATTTTCTGAAGTGCTTATGAACAAATAGCGGGAACCCGTTAGTATTGATCCTTTGGAGATATGCCTGTGTGTTTCGGTTATGGCTTTACAATACATTTATAAATGTATTATAATTGCTTCACATTGCTTCAGCATTTTACATCCCTTGCCAAGCAATTTGCCAAATGCGAGAAAAAATGTTCGGTAAGATGCAGGTGTAAATGAGTACGTGATGAAAACAAATGTATAAACGCAGAATGATTGCATGCGATTTTCACATCAATCTTTCTTTTATCGAGTGTGAATGTTTTGTAATGACTGACCAGAATCACGAGGAATTTTCCACTGAGCCATTCTAGTCGGTGGAGGCGCACTCGATGGCAATGGAGGTGCTAATTCTATAAAATGACGATGAATGTTCACGTGTCGACGAATATCGAGTAGAATCTTTCTGAACCTTCTGAATCTTTTAACTTTTAACTTATATTATACAATGACGTACCTTGATGTTGCGGAGGAAGATCCACGCTGCTTTGTCGGTGCCATACCGGTGGCTCGTTCGATGAATACTGGCCGGACCCATTGTGATTTAATGTTGCGCTTCGTTGCTGCGCATAGTTGGGCCTTCCTTGTGGCAAATGGTGTTCCACATCTATATATAATAACATTTAAACAAATCTTTATCGATACATAAAGGCACAGGAAATTATGGATTATAATATAATAAATACTTGAAAAAAATTATTAAATACAAGACTGACGCAAAGTAAATTTTATCTAAAAAGACGTACCATTGCGCCTGTATTGCACCATATTTTCCGAACTGGGTGTTCGCATAGGGACAGGTGGTGGAGCGCCTCGTGGCGGTATGGGCGGTTTGTCGGTTCCTAGCATCGCGGAATTCTGTTGATACTGATCTCGCTGAGCCGCCAATTGTTCTTGCTGCATCAGCTGATGTTGCTGCTGCGCGAGCAATTGCTGCTGCCTGTGCATCTGCAGAAATTCCGTCTGAGTTTGCGGTTCGGATCTCTGCGACGCCAAGAATGCCTCGGCGTTCTGCGCGTCATTGCGCCGTTGCTGATTGTGCCGGTGCATCTGCAGGAACTCTATTTGTACCGAACTGGGCGAGTGTTGATTTGCCGAGGTGGGATCGCGCCTGATCACAGAATTCTTGCGCTCCATTTCCGGTGTGGAAGCGCGACTACTTCCGGTCGATGCGTTATCGTCCGCGTGCTCGAGCCTCGAACTCTGCAGCCTCTGCAAGCCTTCCTGTTGCATCTGATTTTGAGAAATAAAGATTCACTTTATAATTCAAGTCTCATAGTATGTTGAAACAGTTAGAGTATACGATTAGGATATGATAGGATTAAAAGACTAAAAGATCGAATAATTATAGATAGTAATATTTCCAAAAAGAGAGAAAATTTAGAAATAGTAAAAATATAGTGTTTTTATCGCAAACCTTCTGAGACTCGTCGTAGCTTAAGAGCTGTAGACTTGGTGGCAACTTCGCGTGAAACGAGATTTTATTAACCCAGTCTTCCATCTCCTCTTGACTTGGTGCTAAAAACAAGAATTCCGAACCGTCCGTACACTTCAGCCGAAATACGTTCTTCTTCTTCGTGTAATCGTCCGCTTTCTCGCATATAGCATTGAAAATGGTTATAGGGGCAGTGGCCGCTTTACTTAACGAGAAATCTTCCATGTCCTTGAAGAAGCACAACAGTTGCCCGCACAATACTGAAATAGTTGCGAAATAAAAATAGATTTGCGGCTAAAGAAACATTTTACGTCTATTTAATTTCGTGAATGATTAGATACCGGTATAATATTGCTTCCATGATCTAACGGCTGCTTTTTTGCCGGCACTTTGAAGCTCGTGCTTTCGCTCGAGAAGACCTTGAATCTCGACTGGGCGAAGAGCGTCCATATTCTCCATTCGCTGCAGTTTCCGGAAGCTTTGCGTTCTTCGTCTAGTCGTGAAGCTCGGAGTCCGTTTTGGTTTCTTCGTATCCACTTTCATGCTTTCAGCTCTCTTGATATCCGAAGTTGCTGAAGAAATTATCAGATCTTTTTATTGACGGCAAGAGCACAATTAATTGATTTATTTGCATAAAATTACGTACCTGGTCTTAATTTTACGCTAAACATGTGCGATAAACCGTACGGCTTCTGGGGTGTCGCAGATTCTGCTGTTTCGGAAGCAGTAGCACCTTTCAGCGGAGATAACCTGATGAATAAGCCAATGATATTTGTGAAATCAGATTATTATTTCGAATATCTGAGTCTTGGGTTGAATCTTAATTTTTACTCACTTGTTCGCAGACTCATGTTCATCGACCGAGCCGTTAATTTCGTCGTGTTGCGCGCGATGAGAAGTATCTAATAACCGTCTACGTTCCTCTTCGCGTTTCCGCTCTTCAGTTATCCTTTGTACCTCTTTACGTTTCCGTTCCTCGATCCTCGCACGTTCCACACGCTCTTTTTCTGCTTGGCGTGCGGCCATTTCCGCCTCTTGCTGCTTTTGAAAGGCTTCTTCCAGCTGTGTAAATGTTTATAATATTAAATATTATATTGTAAATTCTCAACAATAAATAGTCAACAATTTTTTATCTTTATTATATTAAAATCATTATATTGAACTCACCATCGTTATTCGTTTAAGCGCGCTGAATCTTTCCTCTTGCGCTTGTATAGTCTTTTCAAAGTCTTCGTGCTTCCTTATCAATTCCTCCACTTGCGAAATGCTCTCTCCCAATTTTTCTTCCTGCAGCATCGGTTCTCTGTTAACTATCCAGTTCTCCAGGATCTCAGCGTCCCTCTTGAACAGTTGCGTGTCCAAATTCTGTTCGTAAATGTGCCTTCTCTGCTGCCATGTATCTTTCAAAATCTGCTGGCGTTGCTGCAACACCGATATTTTGTCCTCGATCTCCTTCGCCAAGAAGTGTCCCTGCTCGATTAGCTTCTGTCCGGTTCGATAGAATTTCTCAAAGGCCTCCTCGCGCGTGTCGATCTCCGATTTGTACTCGTTGTGCCTAGAAAGCAGTGCCTCGGCACCAGGAACGTCCCGCGCCAATTCCGGCGCCGTTACCTTGGCCACCATCTCATTTATCCAAGATATCAGCTCCCTGTACTCGCCTAAGTAGGCCTGTAGCTGTTCCGCCTGGGCCAGTTTGCTTCGCCTCTGCGCCGCTTGCTCCAGTAGCTCACCCCAAGCCGCTTCTGCCTCCTGATGTTTCACGTTAATGTGTATACGCGCGTCCGGGAATAGCTCGATCAGCCTTGACGCTTCCTCCATCAGGCTCTCTACTTGTTCCTTCACAGCCGCCAGGTCAGTCTCGAATCCTTGATGCTTCCTTACTAATGCCTGAATTGTCTCCAAATCGTGACCGTAGCCGTCCGAGCTGAGAGCCGCTTCCTTTTCCTGTATCCAGGAGATAGTCTCGTCGGCTGTCCTGTCAAACATATGAACCTGCTTAGCGCCCGCCAACGCGTCTTGTCGAGCGTGCGCCAATTCTTTCAAGTCCTCCCATTGTTGCTTTGTTTCGTCAATTTTCTGGAGTATTTTGCTTTTTTCAGGATTATTCTGGTCGATTAGCCTTTGCCCCTCGTCAAGCACAGCCGATACACGTCCTTCACTGGTCGTCAAGCCAGCTAGGAAATTGTCAAATATCTGGATCAGCAGTTCCACGTGTTCCACGTCGCAACCATAGTCCTCTGAAGCGGCGATCTTTAATTATAATATTTAATAATTATATTAATATCAGTTTTATAATAATATATTAGAAATTAAAAAGGTAAAGTTATATAATTATTAATTATTTATCTAATCTTACCGTTGTTTGATCTCCGATCCATTCGATCACTTCATCCGCCTGTCTGATAAATTTGTAAAACTTCTCGCTCTCCGATAATCTCTGGAGTCGATATTCTTTCAATCTTTGCAGTTCTTTAAATTTATACTCGATATCCGCCTGTTTTTGCGCGATATTCTTGCTATCAAAGTGATGCCGCTCGACTAGGCCACGCGAAAGTTTCTTTAAATTATCAATCGTACTTTCGAAACCAGACAAGTCACGCTCGATGCCTTCTAGTTTCTTCAGCAGAGACTGCACAGAATCTTCGTCTTTGCCATGATCAGATGACGTCAATTGTGGATGTTTCTCTCTAATCCACTGCTCAGCTTCTGCAGCTTCGGCATAAAACTATAAAACGCAAATTTTATTTTCCATCGTGTATGCAAAAATAATCAAAATTATATTATTAAAATTATACTAAAATTATTTACGTTAATTATAATAATTAATTTCACATCAACAGAAGTAGGTACATTTAATTTCTTACCATTTGTGATTCTACAGCGTCGAGCAATCTCAATTTCCTGACACTTGCCAGATCTCTGAGGTGTGATAATTCCTCTTGCAACTTTTTGGTCAACTCATCAATCTTATCCGCTGCGAAATGTCCACTTCTAATCATCACAGTCGCTCTGCTAACCAGTGAAGCTACTACAGGCTCTCTGGATAACAATTCCGCTTCCAAAGCGTGGTGTTTCTTTTGCAATCGCTGTACAGTTGTCAGAGAGCTGCCCAAATCGTTGCTCGCGGCTAATGGTTCCTTCTCCGACAACCAGTGCAATTCGTCCTCAACATCTCTCGCGAACTGATGCAGTAACTTCGCGTCTTCCAAATTGTCCCTGCGTATTTGCATCGGTTCCTGAAGACTGTGGTATCTATTGATCGTAATTAACGCTCTCTTTTGAATCTCATCGCTCAAGAAATGATTCGATTTCTGAAAACTGGCGGCGGTGTCCTTGATAGATTCGCACGCTTCATTGTGACCGAGCACGTCATTCTCCAAATTGGTGTGTCTCTTCAGCAAATTTGCCACGCTCGAGAGATCCTTGCCGTGATCCTCTGATTGCAATTGGGTCTCCACTTCGTCCATCCACGTCTCGAATTCGTCCAAACTACGACCGAATAGCAAGGCTTGATACGCATCATTCAGCCGGTTCTTCTTCAGCTCGCTAGTTTCTTGCAACAGACGCCATTCTGCCTCCAACTCATCCAAACGTTCCTGTATATCCTTCGCAGCATAATGGTTTTCCTCGATAAGTGCTTCTCCCTCGTTGACTACTGCTGCGACTCTTCCTTTATTTGCCATCAACTCGCTCTCAAATGCGGCGTGTTTCTGTATCTTGCTTTGCAAATTCGAAGAATCTCTATAATTTTCGTCGCTCGCCACCTGTTGCTTTTGATGCAACCAGCCTTCCACCTCATATATATTCCTGAGGAATTGGTGTAAGTGGTGGCTCTCCAAAAGTTTCTTCCTTCTGGCTGTCGCGTTGTTCTTCAGTTTGTCTCTTCTGGTACAGACTGAGGCGAGTCGCTGTTTTATTATACCCGCGTCCGCATGTCCATGAGATAGGATTTCGTTAGCAAATTTCTCCAGCTCTTCGATACGTCCCAATTGAGACGCCAACATTTTCTCGAATTCTTCGTGCTTACGCAATAGTGTCTCGACGCCCGATAGCGATTCGCCAAGATCGTCGTTGTTGAGGAACGCCTCTTTCGTCGCCAGCCAGCTGTCAGCCTGATCGGCTTGCTCCTTAAACAATTGCAATTGATGTGCTTGCGTTAATTTCTGCCTGCGATTGTCCCAGGCATTTCCCAAAGTTTGTCTGAGCTCTTCCAGATGCTCAAGATTATCCTTGACATCCTCGTTAATCGACACTAGCTTTTGGCCGTGATCTTTCAAGCCTTTAAATATGTCTTGTCTGCCATCGATCTCTGCCTTTCTCTCTTGATGCAGTTCTAGTACAGCTTCGGCTTCGGATATGGTGGTCGGTGCTTCGGATTCATCCATGCGTTTAATAGTATCTGCCACCCAAATGTCCAATTCATGCAGATCAGCTTGGAATTTGTGCAATGTGTAGGCTTGATTCAAAGCTTCACGCCGATGTCGAGTCACACGTTGCAGATCATCCCAGTTAGATTGAAGCTCGGATAGTATCCCGTTTATTTCGGATGCCTTGTCTGGATACTTGTGCGACAAGTTTCGCGCCTCTGCCTTATGCTCCTAAAATAGCATATAAAAAAAATTGAAATATAAAATTTTCTTTATATTTAAAAACATATTTATGATATTATAAAATATGAAGTGAAAGAAGAGTGTGCAATTACAAAAATTCTATTAATTGTATATACACAAAGTATATTAAAAATATTAATTACTTAGTAACAAAAAACATAGAGCTATACTATATAGCTATACTAATCTTTTATTACTTTATTTTAATTATTAGTAAATTAACGATTAATTCTGAAGCAAAAAATTAATGAAAAATTGATGCAATCTTCACCTTCAATTTGCCTTCTATTGCTGTCATGTCTCGTTCCATAGCCTCTTGTTTTCTTTGTAACTGTTCGACAGCGGGTAAATCTTTTCCTGTATCACTCGTGTTCATGGCCACTGATTTCTCAATAACTCTTTGGTTTGTGTCGTCTATATCTCGGTTAAATAGATGAATCTCTAGTGCACCCGCTAATGTTTCGCGATACGTACTTAATGCACCTTGCAAACCTTTCCACTTATTATTAAAGTTGTCGCGCCGTTGTTGAATTGCTTTTGATTCATTATCACGACCCTATACGAAATATAGCAAAATAATATGAACATTTTAAATAATAACATTTATATTTCAATAATACGCTTCAGTATAATATTTATTTTAGTTTTCCATGTGAAAGATTTTACCTGTTTTATAAGCTTATCTGCTAAAGCATTGATTGTTTTTATTCTGGAATCATCTACTCGCATATCGCTATCTACATCGTCGAGTTTCCTTTGGAGGCTCAAACAGTGCTCATAATCCTTTCCGGTATCACCAGCCTGGACCATCATTTCCTTATCCCTGATCCACGCTTCAATCTTCTCCACCTGATTGTTGAATTCCAAGATATCTTGAGCCTCTTCCAAACCTCTGCCCCGATTACCAGACTCCAACAACAATTTCCGCCAGGACGCATGTAGATGTTCTAATTGCTGATGAATTTCTGCGCTCGCCGGATGTTTTCGCGCTAACAACGTTTCTCCTTTTGCTATTTTGTAAATGTAAATTTATTATTAATTTTTTATGCAAGTGAGAATATTCTGTGAGCGATAACGGCAACTTGAACATCAATCAATTACCTTTAATTTCCTCGATTCTGCTTTGATTCGCTGCCAGCTCTGCTTGGAACGCCTGGTGTTTTTGCAGCTTCTTGATCTTGTCCTCTAAGCTAGACACTTCGCCTTTCGACGCTTCCGCTTCCAACTTCTTCTGCTTTTCGCCTATCCAGGACTCGGCTTCACCTACGTCTCTAACAAATTGTGCATGCAACAAACTGGCCTCCAATCTTCTTCTTCGTGCATCGCACAGGTCACGGATTCTTGCACGCCTTTGAATAACCTCGTTCAATCGCCGAGCGATCGTTGATGAGTCGAAATGATTCTGAGCAAGAAGTTTACTTCCGTGTTCTTGCAGCGCCGTCAGCTTCTCCTCGTGGGTGACTAACAGCTTCTCGAATTCGTTATGCTTTTTCATCTGCGCATCTACCTCTTCGACTGAGACTCCAAAGTTGTCGCCACTCAGTGCGGCTTCTTGAGTGCTGGACAAGGTATCGAGCTGTTTGGCGTCTCGTAGGAAGAAATGCAAGTCGATCAATTGATCCAAATGGACCTTCTTTTGTTGCCAAGCGGTGTGCAGCCTCTGCCGTTCGTCCAGCAACTGGTTACACTTTTCCTCAACCTCCTGAGAAGTAAGTCGATGTGATTAACAAACATTCACAAGAATCGTTATTATCTTCGATAGGTAGACTTACCATAGCGGCATAGTGACCGGTTTGCACCATGGCCTCGCCTAGATCAAGCACCGAGCTGAAGCTGTCCTCTCGCGCTTCGATTTCTCCTTTCAGGGCCTCGTGCTCCGCCTTCAAAATCTGCGCGCTGGCCGCGTCTCGAACCTTTTCCTCCGTCGACATTGTAGCGCGGAGTCCAGCTGCCCAGTTCATTAGGTCTCTTACCTAAACGTTTCCCTCGTTAGAAATAAATCGTCAAATATAAACGGTAAGAAGTATATAATTTAATACCTGAGTGAGGAATCGTTGCAAGTCGCAGCTAGCCTGCAACTGATCCCTTCGATGAGCGGATCTTTCTTTCAACTCCTCCCAATGAGCAACAACAATTTGTTGCTGCTGATCGATGTGTACCGCGTTGTTGCCTGGATAATGAGCTTGTAATCTGGAGGCATCCTCGACTAAGACTTGCAACTGAGCCTCCAAAGCGACCAGGTCATTTTCGAATCCTTCATGACGTCTAATTAACGCCAAAACGGAATTTAAGTCGCGACCAAGATCCTCTGGCAAAGCAGCCTCTTTCTCTTGTATTCGTGACAGCGCTTCCGCCACGTCGCGATGGAATCGATGAATTTCGCCTGCCGCTTGTAATCGTTGCTCGCGATTTCGGATGAGTCCCAATAGATGCTGCCACGATTCTCTGCGATAAACAATTGTATTTCAAAGTTATTTATTTTACCCTTTTTGGAAATTATGCAAAATTTTTAAGAAAGAAAGCACAATTTAGAAAAATTCAGAAAAATAGTTTTGTCTGTAACATAGAGATAAATAATTATGATATTAACAAGTATGTACAAATTTACAAAAGTTTGAACAGTTAGTACATAATAATTTCTACATTACAATATTTTAGAGTTAGAAGGTTTTAAGACCAAGTTTTTAAAAAGCAATCGAAAGAACTATGAAGATTAAAAACATAAAATCGCGAAATTTCGAAAAAGAAGCGTAGAAGATAAATAGCTTTGAATCATAGTATGAGACAACTTTAACGTCCTATATACATATGAGTTAGTCCAAGTAACAAAATGTATACTCACTTCATCACCGCGTGTTGATTTTGTACTTGTAACGCCGGATCGTCTTCATCGGATCTATGTTGAATACGTATACGGAAAAAAAGTTAGTGACCCAACACCGAGAAAAAAAATAGACAAATAGATTTGTAAATCACAAAGAACATTATATTACATGATATTAATTTAGAATTTTAAACTAACACCAAGAGAAAGATATTAATTTATACCAATTACGTCATTTTGTTAATTTATTGCGTGCAAGTGACGGGATACTAATATTCTACGAGAGTGATAAGAAAACAATAAAATAGCAGAAACGAAAATAATGACAAAAAGATCCTTATTGGATAAAATAAGTTAAAGATTTACCCTAATTGTTCCTGGCGTTTTTCGATATCCTGGATGTAAGGACTCTCGTTCGCGATCAGTTTTCTGGCTAATTCTTCGCACTGATTGAACCTCTCGGATCCAGCCTCTATTCGATGCTTGAAGTCATTGAATTTCGTTTGCAATAGCAACAGATGCTCGTAATCTTGACCGTAGTCCTCCGATGCCGCTGCTTGTTCTTGCTCCTTGATCCATTGCTCCAACTCTCTGCTCTCCAGGAAATATTCATGACGATACATGCTCTCCATTAAACGTTGCTGCCTTACGGTAGCCAGTCGCTGCAAGGCGCGCATTTGTTGAACGATCGCTTGCTGCTTGTTGGCTATCGCCTTGCTGTCGGGATGCTTCGAGTTGATCATTGTGGAAGCTGTGTGTCCCATTTCTGTTACGATGCCGTTGTATGTGTCTAATTCGAGCTCAACAGCCTGTAAATTATAAGCCAAACATGAATAGTCAGTACCATTATATTTAGTTAATTGTGATAATTCCGATTACATTCCGATTAAATTCCGATCGAATAATATAGTGAATTACTTTTGATTGATTACATTTTTCATTTTGTTTTAGAAAATACGTACCTTGTGTTTTGTCAATAATTTCGTGGCGGCATCGCGATCCCTGCCGTAATCGGTAGAGCTCAGCACATCGTTCTTCTCGTTGAGCCAGCTTTCAACCTCGCCGGCTTCGAAAAAGAATTCTTGTGCTTTTAGGGACAAGTCCAATGCTCTGCTACGCTCTCCCGCTTTGTCTTGCAAATCCCTCCACGCGTCATCCAGAATATCGCACAGTTCTTGGATCTAGTAAAATTATTAATGCAACCAATTATTTATTGCTATTTAGTTCAGTTAACGACATTTTCAATACATTGTTACTCGTGTAAAACAAATACAAATTAATAATTCATTAAGTAATTAATCGCTGATGTCAATGCTGACACACTGCCTAAAGTTCCATCGCTGTGGCAAAAGTATCAGTTTGTGTCTGCATGCAACAACATATGCACCTTCTATCTTATAATTCCTAAGACTTATTTATTAAGCAATAGAATAAAATCAGAAAGCCTGTTGCAACTAAAATTGTATAAATCACATATTTTTTAATAATAGATTTTACCTCCAGTTGCAAAACAATTGAGATTACAATAAACAAATTAAATTTCATTGAAATTCTGTGAAAGAATTTTTGTGTATGAAGAATTAATCATATAAATATATATACAAATAGTTCAGGTAATTTTAGAAACTAAGCTACAGAAATAAAGTATAACTTTTAACATCCTATAAAAACAATTTGTTAATTACATGATGTCTAGGATATTTGGGCTGCTATAATTATCATTGATCACAGAAAAGCGATAAACATTTGTGACAACATTTTCCATGCGTTGTTGTGTGTCCACCTTACCTTCGTAAACGCGATACCCTTCGAGAAGCTCCAGCTGTGCAAAAATCACAAGTTCTTACTCCAGTCTCGTATCAGCCGATCATTGTACGAAACCACGAGAAAAAGATAGTTATTTGGCAAAGAAATCCTCGTAATTTACCTTTTTCTTCTCTGGATGAGCCTGATCGATGAGCGTTTGTCCAGAAGCCAGAGTCTTGTCTATCATAGGCTGATGACCGGCGATCTCCGCTTCCAGCTTCTTGTGTTTCTTGTGCAAAGTCTGGGCTTGATGCAGGTTCTGTCCAAGCGTCGTCGACGACGCTTGAGGTAAATGGTCCTTGATCCACTGCAACTCTGCGTCCAATTCGAAACCGAATTTGTGGAAACGCAGGCTTTCCTCCAATGCTTCTCGACGTTTCTTAGCTGGTTCCTTCAGACTGCGGAATCTATCAAATATAATAAACTTCGTCATTTGTATATCCACGATCATCTGGGTAATGAATCAGGTTGATCATTAAACAATCAGTTTAAAAGAAAGGGTAGTATAACATAATTGAAGAAGAAAATTTCATACGTACTTTCTCTGGGTGGCTTGACTTGACTTCAGGATGTTCACCGCATCGAAGTGACCCTCGTGCGCCATTTCCTGACCCATGGCCACGAGATCATCCACTTTCTGTTCCCATTGACACATGTCGCTCTCGAGGGTCTGGTGCTTTTTCAGCAACTCTTTGCAGCTACGGAGATCCGTGCCTACTTGCTTACTCTGAAGACAACTCTCTATCTCTTCTAGTTTTAATCTAGCGTCTTCCATAGTGCGATTGTATCCGTGTTGTGAGGCCGCTTGTCGCAGTCTACGACCTTTCTCCAACGACAATGCTACCAATCGGTCCCATTGATCATTTAGATCCTTCAAAGTTTTGCCCACGTCGTCTGATCGGTAATTTTCTTCTGATATGAGCGCCTTGCCTGCCTTGTTGACTGCTCTCAATTGTCCCTCATTGGCACGCAGTTCTCGTTCGAAAGCTTCGTGTTTTTGCAGTTTGCGCTCGAGATTATTCAAGTCGCGATAGCTTTCGTCGGCCGCAGTCTTCATCTTGTCGCCCAACCAATCGCGCAAGTCATCCACTTCGGCTGAGAATTGTTGATAATGCTCGGATGCCTTTAAAGCTGCTCTTCGACGTTGCGCGGCATCCTTCACTGCCATGCGGCGGGCTAGTACTTGGTTCCTTCTTTCGTTGATGCTAGATATAAATTAGGTTTATGTAACTAATACAATAGCATCTCCTTAACACATATTTAAAAAAAATTGTGATTAAAATCAGTTTTTAAATTCATTTTAATTCATTTTAGTTCAGTGACTTCAGTTTAACTCAAGTTCATGCGATATGTCATTATATTTTTATTCGTAAGCAATCAATCTAACAAATCGTTCTTCTGATACTTACTAATCTTTTTCGTAGTGATTTTGGGCGATTAACTTGTCTGCGGTGTCACTAAATGCCTTCAATCTGTCATCTTGCGCGTGAAGGGTGTTCTCAAATTTTTCGTGTTGTTTCAATAGAGCCTCGACGTCATCCAAAGATTCGCCCAAGTCGGTGAACTCAAGGAAAGCTTCATGAGAGCTGGTAGTAGCTTCGATCTGATCGGCTTCTCGATTAAATTGTTGCAATTCCAAACATTGTCGTAACCATTCTTCTTTTGCCATCCAATCAGCTGTTACCGCTGGGTACAATCCATTTAACTTGTCCAGACGTTCACCTACATCTGTCAATGTCGGGTTACGACGTAGTAGTTCTCGACCGAGATCTTCAACTTCGCGGAATCTGCAAGCATACGAAAAAAATATAATTTATAAAAAATTAGATTTTTTTACTAACAAGATTCTCGATTAATTTAATAACAATACCATAATAAAAATTATTTTAATAAATCCACTATTGAGAAATTATTTTTACTAAATTTTAAAGAACTTTTTAATAAAAAGCTGATTGTACAATAATAACGATTACATACTCGTCTTCTTTGGTTCGTATTTCTTCTCCAAGCTCCATGTGCTGTTTCTTGAGTTGCTCGGCCGTGGCAACGTCTCTCACTGGTTCCTCGGCCTTCATTGTCTCTTGTATGTCCATGGCCCAGTTGATCAAGTTCTTCGAACTATTCATGAATATCTGTTGGCCGACCGCGTCTTCTAAACGAGATCGTCGCTCCTTGGCCTTCGTCTGGACTTTGTTCCACAGATCCTTGATCTCGTTTTGTCTCACATTGACGTTGTTACATTCGTGTGGATACGAACTCTTAACGCTGTTGCCTAATAAATCTACTTTCCGTACCTGAGAAAATAAAATTATATGAAAAAATTAAGTTATTATTTTCTGTTATTTATTAAATTTATTGTAAAATACTGAAATTGTTTAACCTTTTCTTCAACTGGTGCCAATTCTCGTTCCAAATGTTGATGTCTCCTCTGCAGAGCTTGCACAGTCTTCAGGTCAGGTCCCAACTCGGCGGTGTCTAGTTGGGTGATCTTTTCTAGCATCCAATCGTGAGCTTCGTCGCAGGTTCTGTTGAACAACTCAACACTGGATGCGCCCTCCAAGCTTTTTTCTTTCTGAGTTTTCAACCAATTCAAATGTTCCCATAGCTGATGAATGTGCCTCTGCCTGGCTTTGACTTTGTCCAGTTGACTGTGACCTTGACGAACGAATTCGTCTACCGCTGCGTCTATTGCCTCTACCCGTTTCCCGGAGGCTGACAGATCCGTTAGGAACTTCTCGTACTTTCTCCTCGCCGTCTCGACGTTGTCGCGAGGATCGTCGACTCTTAACATCTTCTCCTTGTCCTTGATCCATTTTTCGAAGTCATCACACTCCCGGTAAAAGCCGTAAAGCCTAATGGCGTCCTCCAACAACGCGTGACGTTTCACAGCGAGTTCCTGTAACTCGCTGTAAGTTTCGTTGATTTTCTTCTGTCGCTTCTCCACGCTATCGCCGTCGCTCACCGCCTTTCGCTTGATCGGCTTCACGGTAGACTTGATGGATTTTAATCGTCGGACCGGCACTACCTGTTTCACCATCTTCGTCTTCTTCACGCGCTGCGTCACTTTGACCTTCTCAGGTCTGCGTACCTGCACTTGCACGACTTTTGGCTCGATCTCGCGCACGTAATTAGCCGGCACAAACCCGTCCGTACCGTCAGCTTTCCTAACGCTCCACCAGTCGGGATTCGTCTTGTTCAACAGAAACATTACTTCGCCCTTAACCATGTGCATGCCCTGACCGTTAAATGGATATAAACTTTTTACTTGCGGTACCAATCTATCCTCGTGAATAGTTTTCGGCTCGAGTCGTTCGACTACCTCATCCACCCACTCGTCTTGCGGCACCAATCTGATCTCCTTGCTCCATTCTTCCTGCTCGAGCTCGGCGACCGGTTCAGGATCGGCGGATAACTCCAGGGTGGAGATGCCGGATTTGATCAGTTTTTCCGCCTGTGTGTTCAAGGACTGCACATCGCCATTGTAGGCGTTTAATTCGCCTTCCAAATCTTTGTGCCGCTGCAACAAGGCCTGAGCGCTCGGTTCGTCCACTCCATAATCCTCTGAGGCCACTAAAGCCATTTTCTCGTTCATCCACGAATCCGCCTCGTTTGCGTCGGCGTAAAATTGGAACGCTTCGGCCGCGTCATCCAGCTGCTTTTTCCGCAATGCCGCCAGTTCCTCTAAGACTCTCCAATGTTCCTGCAACGAGTCTATTCGATTCTGTATCTCCAATGCCGACGGGTGATTATCGGCTATCAGTTTTTTGCCGGCATCGCAAAGTTGCTCGGATTTCGGCCTGCGCACTTTCATCTCATCTTGCAGGGCCTTATGTTTCTGCTGCAGCGATATCACGGCTCGCAAATCCTTCGCAGAAATGCCAGCCTTGCATATTCGCTGTTTCTCCACCAGCCACGACTCTTCGTCCTCGTGATCTTGAAGGAAGTGAAAGAAATTCCTGGCATCCTCTAGCCGAGCTTTACGCTCCTTGCTGTTCTCCACGAGCTCGTCATACGCACCATTCAGTAGCTCCAACTTCTGCTGCAGCAATGGCGCCTCCTTATTCTGCGGCTGTGCCAAGTGCTGAGCGGCCTGTCTACCGAGTCGTCTTTGGCTCTCGCCTAGAGCCGTCACTTGCAGCTCCTGCAAGCTGTGTTTCTGCAAGAGATCCTCGACTCCCAGTAGATGCGGGCCCACATCAGTGCTCTGAAAGTTCAGTTGGAGCTCTTGAATGGAAGCCAGTGTTGTATCAATTTCTCTCATCAAGGTCATTAGCGAGCTGAGCGCGACCAGATTGGATTTGTGATGGTCCAGCAAAGCCAGTAATTCTTTCCATCTCTGCAACACTTCCTGTTCTCTGCTGCGAACTCTCTCTAAGCCGTGATAATTCTCCCGCACCAATTCTTCGGACATGTTCGTCAGGTCGTGGAAGCGCTCCTCGCGTGCCAAGATATCGGCACTGATGGCCTCGTGCTTCTTTACTGTGGCGTCTACTTGCGCTAGGTTACTGCCATATCGTGGATCCGTCAGGACCTGAATCATCTCTTTCAAGTAACCTTCTCTGAGCACGCTCTTTCTCTCGAACTTGTAATTCAGTTGCTCGAGCCTCTCTTGTCGCAACAACTCGGTCCTCAGGGCGACTTCACGACGGTGCTCCGATCTTTCCAATTCTACCCAATTTCTTTCGATGTCGTGGATCAGCTGGCCCTCCTGCGGGGTGAACGCCGGCTGATTCAGAGACTTTAACTGAGTGTTTATGTGGAAATACAACGCTTCTATCTCGGACCGTTCCTTGTACTTCGGCGGCTTCTCCACTGTTCGGTATTGCTTGAAGGCTAGGAGTTCCCGTTGAATACCTTCGAGCGAGTTCGGGAAGCTTCGACTCTCCAGAACCTCAATTTTCATCTTGATCCATTCCAAAAGGTCAGTCGTTAGTTTCTCATAGTGGATCTTCATCTTGTCGGCGTCCATCATCTGGCCAACGATCTGTGAGTACAAAAAAGAGTCATCAAAAGATTTGTTAAGAGATTTTTAATTTAATTATTTAATTAAATTTATTTGATTTAATTGATTCTTAGATTCTCTCTTGAATTTGTAGTTTTTCGAACCACAGGACGTTTTAATTATAAAATGTAACATATGGATATTCAAATACATACTCTATGGATACATTTTCGTTAAAAAGTATTAATTTAAATTTTGAATATCAGGATGATATTTAGATTCTCAACTTTTTAGATCTTTATCAGGTCTTTAGATTTTCAAAATATAGTTTTTATATGTATTAAATGAGATTTTCAAGTAGTCGTACATTCGCTATTCTTTTGCCGCTCTTTATTTCGTTCTTCATCCTGGCGAATGTATGATAATAAGACGCGACATAGGTAATAATGGACTTCTCGTCTGGTCTGGCTGTGTCCACGTCTTCTGCGTCCAACAGCCGCGGTATGCCGAGTTCTGAATTAGCAACGTCGAAGGCATAATTGAGATTATCGATGTTCTTATTTTGCTGTAATTCCGACCAATTGACCAAGTCCGGTCTGTGAGCGTGTATGAGAGCGTTGAAACCAAGTCCGTTTCTCCAGGAGCCTATTTGTACATAATTTAAAATTTTTGTATAGTTTAAAATATTTTAAATTTCTCTTATACATCTTTATATATAATATTTAAGTTAGAGAGTCAAAGCTGAGTGAGAAAGTCAACGGTCGAAATACGAACAAAATAAGGATGTTATTTTAAAGTAATATTTAATTTTTATTTTCAATATTTTTACTCAATTATTGTAAATAAATTAGATATCACTTTAAACTAACATCCTTATTTTACTCGTATTTTGGTCGTCGACCTTCTCACATAGCTTTGCTTAAAACGAGACTTCTCCGTTAGTATAATATTTATTTTCCTATAAAAGGTACACTTATATAAAATATAATAATTCTTGATTATAATTATTCTCTCAATTGTCTTATGAATTTTTAAACGCTTCAAAAAGTACAGGGTGAAGGTTTATACTGTTGAAGGTTTATAGCTTGGAGGATTCGCGTGTAAGATTATACTAAATGTTTCCTAGATTCATAAATATTGCACGGTTTCTTCAAACTTCTTTTTACGTCATTCGGATACTTTGAATATTCATGCCGCGTAATTGTATACAAGGCGGAGAACTCAACTCACCGGTAAAGTCCTGGATGTTAACGCCGGGATAGCCATTTGTCTTTCTCTGGCACCAGAGTAGCAGAGCATCTTTGGCAGACTTCTTCTCGCTGCTATCATTCTCCTCGTCCACATCGATTTCGATCTCTTGGATTTGGAATCTCAGAATTATGGTCCAGATGAGACCGAGAATCAATCGGGGGTTACCATCCACGATATCTTCTGCACCGATACTCTCGAGACGGACCTGGAAGAGAGAATGTAATCTTTGAGATTAGGAGAAATAAAAGAAATTGAAGACGATAGTGAATTTATAAAAAATTTAGTACTACAAAAATTCTCTCGGCGAAATATATTTTAACATTAGAAAATAGCCTATATAATGATCGCGATAACTATTTCGATCCTGATAATATTAGTAGGGTAAACCGACCAGTGAATGAACAGGGTCCAGTAAATGAACAAAATCACTTATATTTTAAATATGAAAAAAATCATGGGTCGAAGATAAATGATTTTGTGATGAAAATTGATCTCAACGTAATCTGTGAATTATTCTCTTAATTTTCATCACAAAATCGTTTATCTTCGACCCATGATTTTTTTCATATTTAAAATATAAGTGATTTTTGTTCATTCACTGGACCCTGTTCATTCACTGGTCGACTTACCCTACCTAATAAATGAGACCAATACTTTTTTTAGAAGTCAATGAAATTATGTTTTATACATAGTTATGTCATAGGCGCGCACACACACAAAACGCCAGCAGAATTTCTTAACTGAACTTTCTTTTTCTCTCTTCAAAACTTCTTTCTCATAACGCCTCTATATTAACATAGTAATATATTTCCGAGTTTCTCCATTTTAGAACCTCGTCATTCCAATATGCTAACGCTATGCGGCGAGATCCCGCAAGTTTTTTCGCGAAACTCATCGATCAGCGAGTGAATAATGCGCCCGTATAATTTATCCGACGTTTACCCGCCGTTCGCATGATTACTCGCATTCCAATCTATTGCACAGTCACGGCGCAGCATTCGAAGCAGGTTGCGTAAATGACAGGTTTTAATAATTGAGTAATTCGTAAAAATAGAATACTGTGCGTAATCGCGGTTCTGAGTAATCGAGAGTATCAAGGCGCTGCGCTGTAACGATCGTATAAAGTGTCACCGAGAAAGTACACTGGATAAAGTCGCCTTGTCATAGCGCTTAATTAAACTAATTAACCGCATGCGGCTGTATTTTGAATTTTTTTCAATGTATAGATTTTATATATATTACAGAATAAAATCCAACGTCATCATATTAATTTTTGGATACAAATGAACGGTTGAATCAAAATCTCGAAACGTCAAAATATTACAACTGTAATATTACAATTACAGACGCGTAAATCTTAACGGCGATGTGTTTGGTAATTGGTTGTCATTGCGCGTGGTCGGCGTGGTCCAAAAGATCCAAAAGAAACGAATACCATCATCGGTACTTAATATCAGTCTCTCACGAGATTCCTGTTAATTTTATTTAAGTCATGGATGCGCGGCGGTTATGAAATTTATTTCGGGCCATTAATTTCGAGGCGCGTAAAATCCCGTTGAGAGCGCCGACTCGGCGGAAGTAATTATGCGACCGCGCCGTATAATGAATTACAACTGATGCGATTTAATAATTGCATTTTATTCCGCGTCATCGAGGAGCATGCGGAACGGGCACAGAAATCTTTTTTGGCCTCTTTTCTCCGTACACGGCCTGGTTTCGTATTTTACGGCCTCGCGTCTTATAATTATACAAAATAACAAAGCTAGCCTTTATTATTAAGCCTTTAAAGTATACAAATTAGGCAAAATGATGTCTTCAGTATGTAGCAATTGTTTCTCGGATAAAGTTTATCTCGCCGACATGCAAAGCAACTTGCAACTTGCATTCTATTGATCGAATAGTAATGATAGAAATTAGATGAAACAAATAAGTTGTAAATGTATTACACAGAGATATATTCTAATTTAGAGTTTGACACCGGAGAGAGACTGAAGATACTATAGATTCCCGAAGATGATAATTAATGGCTCGATTATTCCGCTCGTGAATCTCTTCGTGTCAGTAAAATTATTCTCGCGCTCACTGCAGCCAGTGGCAACCGATTGCTGTGTGTCACTACATTACGGTTCAGTCAAGCATAATAGGGTCTTATTGATAATGCAGTATTTGTTACTTCCAATCGGCAGCGACGCGACGGCACAACCACGGGTTGCCGAGCCGTTTATTGATAATCTCTTGTCGATGGTGAAAGTAGAACGTTGGATCATTTGACATCTGCGCTATTATATGTTTGCCGATCGCTAATAATTTTGCGATGATAGTCAATGTGTTTTTAATGGTCGCCTCAGCGCTCGCGGATGTAGACGCTGATGATATAATTGTAGGTACCGCGCTCTCGGTATATGCATGGGAAACATATGAAGATCACAGACTCGTAGATAAACGCTTCCTCCTCGGAGAGTATCGCTTTTTTCGCATCAGCAGCTAGATATCGCGATGTCAGAGAAGTCATCAGAATACGTTTGAAGTAGAAGGCATATAATACTTCTTTTAACAGTTTGCGTTGTTCAATTACATTCCGGCGCAGGAAAATGTTGCTTTGGCAGTATTTTTTAAATAAAGTTTAATTAGGAGATGCATCTAAAGTTAAATAACAAAAAAGATGTTTAATGAATTTGTCGCTATGAATAATAAAGAAGATTGACTCTATATTATATTATGCGTGGTGTAATAATAATATTATATCATAATTGGCGTAATAATAATATGCTATAAATGTAAAACTTCTACAAATCAGAAACATACTAAACATGTTTTATAATGTTACAGGAACCGCTCGAACCTTCTGAGGCAAGTTCACGTTTGGCCATTAAAAGGGGTAAGTCGTCTTGTATTGTAACTCGGCTGTAAGTAATTTCGCTCGCTTGACGACATCAACCGCGAAGTATCGAATGAGATCGACAGTCTTGCTCATGCTTCTCGCCACGCTATTATAGTTAATCGCGGCGCACGCCGGCGACGGACGTTTCCCGCGCACGGCTGCTGCTGCTGCTGCTGGAATGCAGTCCGATCACTTGTGCCGGGGGCCGGGGTTTCTATCAAGGCCGCTGGGAAATGGAAATTATGGCGTTTGTCAGCCGGGGCGGCTGACAGCTCGCGGAATCCAAAACAAAGAGGACGCGTAGCGTCACCGTTATACGCGGCCGTCGTCGCCGGCAACGTCTTCGCGGACGAAGTTAACGAGCCGAGTCTGGTCGAGACCGCCGACGAGTGCTGCTGGATCTCTCAACGTCATCTCGGCCGACCAGACCGGACTTCCTCATCTCCCGCAGGCTTCCAGTCACGTGCTCATCTCGGCTTATTTCGCGGCGACCGATTGCCAGATGTCCAAGCGGGGCGGTTACCCACCTCGGACTCGGTTATTATTTAACTCGACTTTCTTTCAGCTCAAACCGTGAAACGTGAAATAAACTTAAATCATATAAGTCGAGTATTATATCCACGACCACCACAGATGAGAAAATAAAGCAAAAAGCCGGTTAGAATTCAATTAGTTTAATTAAATCGTCGGTGAAAATTCAGCCCTATATTTTATCTCAGCAAGATATTGAATATTATTGCATTTCATCGCGGAAGAGAAATTATCATTTGCATTTCTCGACTCATACTTGGTGCTTTAAGATCGAGTCTTTCTATTATTTATGTTTTATATAATTTAATTAATGATATGGAGATATTAATGAACTTATCTACTCTCACTTGAGTTTTAATATAAAATGTATTAAGAATTCTGTTCAGTTTTTATGTGACATTTTGTTCGCTTCTTGACCTTTCATTAGCTACTTTGTGGCTCGATATCGTCAAGACGAAGAAAGAATATTCGTTAAATATCTGTCTTATCATTTTTAACGATTACTGTTACTTATGATGAATATACGTCTTCTCAAAAGATGCATTCGCATGCGCTTTTTATATACACGGGAAGACAGTCCTCTCGGCGAGACAAATAGCGAACAAGGCACATTAAGCTGAGCGAACGCGCGCGGAATGTCGCAACCGATTTATCGTACCTGAAAAAGTTCATCCCTTCCGGCGTGATTCACCGCATGCGATAACGGGACAGGACGTACGACTAATGATCTACTTAGGCTAAACCGTGTGGCGAGAACACGGGGGCAAGCGTATTCCCGTCGCTGTCACCGTGCAATTTGCAGCTACCGCGCGCATTATGCACCTCGTCCGTAATAACAGCGAGCGGTATCCATTCGATAATGATAGTGCGACGCTTCGCGTAACGACGTGCGGCTTACGCGCCGACCGCGGTGCAACGATCGGTAGCCAGCCGGATCAGCTGATCTCGCGTCCCCCCTCTTCCCTCCTTCACGTCATTAACTTTGGAATTCTAATGCGATGTCAACCGATACGCGCGATACGGCCCGAGCGATACCGCTGCTCAACGGTGCATCGCGAGCTGAAATGCAATTCGGAGCGAAGCGCGGCCGAGCGACGAAGCCTGCAGGACAATGCAACGTTGCGCAGACCCGCTCGAGACACAACGCGATTCGCGAATAAAATGCAACAAAATGTAAACTAAATTACACGAAATTCCTATAAAATGCATATGGAAACAAGACTGGATCAAAATGTGGAATGCAAGTTGAATTATATTTCGTGTATCACTTTATGGTTCTTTGTTAAACTGTCTTTTTTTTAGAAATTTTTTTCTCAAAACAGTTTATAGAGTGTATCATCACGCAACTTTATCCGAGACAAGTATAGTTGTTTTTCTACCGCGGCATGATCATGCGATGCAGCGAAGTGTGTTAAAATACTAATTTTAAAGCGCAGTTGGATTTTTTTCTGCGTAAAATCAAATCAAATCAAATGTATTATGACAAACTATACATAAAACAGAATATTCGCATTTGAAAAAATGCTACACTCGAATGTGTGCTACGTTATACTATAAATAGCATACGTATCGCATCGTATATATTTACATGAATATATAATATGTATAAATATTACGATAAAAACGAAGAAACAGCAATAGTTTACTGCATTTAATCACAACGCAGTCTATACTTAATGATATTCGGACGTCGAACGTTATGAAATGAACGTTTGAATTAAATTTAAAATCCAAGTGTAAGCAAAAATCGTCGTATGCGTTTAACCGTCCCATTCACCATGCGCGACACAAGT